CCATCCTCTTGACGATGGTTTCTTACAAACAAGCCCCAGTGACGTCATACCCGTTACGTTCTTGTCTACGCGTGGGTGTTTCCTCTACGCCGTCTGCCCTACGAGACCTGGTGTTCTTTCTGTGTGGAACTGTGCTCGCACCACTTCCAACGATGTGCTGTTGGTTCTTTCAGTTGTACTCGGTCACGACTGTCTGTTTCCGTTGTTTGCTTTGCCCGAGAAGCCACGGACGGCGAGGCAGCGGATATTCCTTCTACGCAAGTCACTACCCCTGGACCTACAGCCAGTCTACTTCTCAACAACTTCTGCGCCCTTCTTTGGTGACCCTCGTCACTTCTCTGAGCAGTTTTCCGCCCTCTTCCCATCTTAACGACAGTGCCGAGAGGACAACCCGAACACTGCGCATCGGTCGTCGCAAACGTGTCCACATGCCAAACATGTTATCTGCAGCCAGGGTTAGAAGTTCAACTCAACATGCCAAACATGCCACCTGCAGGCAAGGTTTGTCGTGTCGTTTTTTTCACAGGGAGCTGCACAAGCTCCCTGAGATGTGCTGGACAAGCACCCCCCCTCCCCCAATCTGTGCTGGGTAAGCACAGCCCCCTTCAAGGTGCTGGGAAAGCACACTGCGCTGGGCAAGCACAGTCATCACATGCGTGATGATGTCTAGAAACCAACTGCTATTAAGCCCAATGATTTCCTCATCCATCCCAACAGTATCTATCAACAACTTTGTTGCTGTGGCTTGTCAACTTGTTTTTGCAGCATTTGCCCAACCCGGATCAAAGGCGATTTCAAACCCACGCTGCATGTTTTGGGTCTCATCGATCTCCAAATTGTTCTGATTTGAAGTGGGGTGAGGGGTTGAAACTCTCGGTCCGTTTGAGCCCTCATTTTTTTTGTCGTGTCGTTTTTTCTCACAGGGAGCTGCACAAGCTCCCTGGGCTCCAACGAATTGGGCAAGAGGGCCAACTTCATTGGCTCAGGACAAACCCGCCTCCCACAGCCTGCCCAACCCTGAAACACATTCTGGGTTGTTCTCCCTTCTCCCACCTCCAAAAGCCAATGCTTCAAGATAGGAAATGCTTGCTCCAACCTGAAAATCAATTTGTCAATAGCCAAAGGATTCTGGTAAAACACACCTCTGCCCACCGCCAAAAACCAAACTCAAAGAGAACATTAAAGGCTTCTTTGGGCCTGATTACTTTAAATTTGGACCTGAATGCCATGAATTTAACTTATGGTTTGCCTAACATCAGGGAGCAGTGTTGCTCATGAGGCTGGACAACTTCAGGATGGACCTCGAGTCAAAGATGCAGACAGAGATTGCAAGAAAACTGACCGCAAGAAGGAGCGGAAACCGGTGTCTCTGAACATCCTAACAGGCCAAGCCTGGAGCAGAGAACGGGCAGAACCTTACGCACTGCCCCTTCGCTGGCTGGCGCCAAGCCTCAGCGCGAGAGCAAAGGAAGAAGTCCACAAGCGCAAGGTTAAGAAAGACGCGAAGACGGTGATCAGCTTTAACTTCGGCTACACCATGTGGACGACTACGGATCCATGGAGCTCCGCAACAGAGAGTAATCAAAATGCTAAATACCTTTTGAAGTGCGTGAAATCCAACAGCAAAACGCTGAAGGCGAAGAAATTGTACATTTCCTACTCGACTGTCAACTCACCTCCCATAGGGCAGTTTCTGTCACTAAGGAATTAAAATCGAAAAAATCCGCACCAGGAACGACTTCTCCTACAAGGCTTAATGTGATTTACAACGTTGATGACGAAGTTTTCGGTGCGTTTGTGTCGGGTGAGGCCTTTGGCCGTTCCTTGCTCAACCATCAGCTTAAGGTTGGGAGCTCCCTTGCGTAGCACCGGCGCTGCATGAACTGCCTTGTGTTGATCGGCGATGTACAGCACGGTGCCATACTGCTCATCTGCATCTTTCACATCCTCCGCACTTTTCTCCTTGGTTGGCAACTAGGGCAAAATTGGGTCTGGAGTGTAGTGGTATTTCCGGTGAGCAGCCACGTGTCAAACACATACTGACTATCTGTGTAGCAGTGCGAAGATGGGCAGCTTTCCAACGCCGTGAGGGCTGGAAACGAAACAGACTTGTTACAGGGGTCAGATTGACTTGTTCACTTGCAGAAGCATCAAAAAGACTTGTGAAGCATCAGATTGGCTTGTGAGGGGGGTCAGATTAACTTGTGGGGGATCAGATTGACTTGGGAAGAACCAAGGGAACAGAGTTGCATCCGCTTCTTTGCGGCAGCTGCGCACCATGATCATCATGAGTCATCATCATCATCATCATCATCACCTATCATTAACATCATCAACAATTCTCATCGTTGCACAGATGCATCATCCATCCATCACGCGCCATCATCATCATCATTCTCATCATCAGTCATCATCGTCATAATGCATCATAGTCATCACCTTCTTCCTCGTTGCGCCATCAGCATCCTCATCCATCATGACCGTTCTTGCAGAGGTCATATTCATCATCCTCATCATCGTCATCATCACCATCGTCGTCTCCTCTACCACCTTCATCATCACTCGTGATCAGCATGGGTGGAGATGATGACGATCCTGTGACGGACGATGATGATGATGATGATGATGATGATGATGAGGGATGATGATGATGATGATGATGAGTCCGTGCCATCATGACTATCATGAGTTGACGCGCGAGAGATACGCGAAGACCACAATCATATTGACAATGCTGACGGATGATGTATGAAGATTGATGGGTTGATGATGATGGATGATGATGGTGCATTACGATCGATGGTGATGAGGATGATCGATGCGGCGATGATGATGATGGAGGCTTACGAAGGATGCTGGTGATGGATGAGGATGATGGATGATGATGATGATCGAGGATCATGAAGGATGCTGATGATGGATGATGATGATGGTGATGATAAGGATGATGATGATGATGATGGTGATGCATGGGTTTGATGGTGATCATGATGACGGACGATGACGATGATGGACGACGAAAGTGATGATGATGATGATGATGATCATCCTCCGTGCCACGACAAGTATCGTCGTAGGATTTTGCGCGCGCCGAGCGCCAAGTGAAACGGACGGAAGATAGAGGCTAGCTAAGTCTACAATGTCGATGATGATGACGGATGATGGTGGTGATGGATGATGATGATGCATGATGATGATGATGATGGTTCATGATAATAAGGAGGATGGATCATGATGATGCTGGTCATGATGATGATGCATCATGAAAGTGATGATGATGATGATGATGATGATCATCCATGCCACGACGACTGTCATCGTAGCATCCTCTGCGCGCCGAGCGTTGCCTGACGGCGCGGTTGAAGTGTGTAAAAGATACGGGGTAAGGGTCATGACGCCGATGATGCGATGACCACGACGATGATGACGATGACGGAAGATCACTATATGATGATGATGCTGGTGATCGCCATGGATGATGGATGGCGATGAACGTTGGGGACGAGATGATGAGGACGATGATGGATAATGATGAAGATGACGATGATGATCACCATGATGATGGTGATGATGATGATGGTTGACCAACCTGGTGAGGATGATCTTGATGACGGATGATGGGTGATAATGATGATGGGTGACGACAATGATGACCATCGTCCGTTTCATTGTAACAAAATCACGCCAAGCGCGCGTGTGTAAGAAGTTAGCCAAGACGGCTACGATGATGAAGATGCGAACACCCTGATGATGATGACGATGATGGATGACGGTGAGGATGGATGCTGATGACGACGATGATGAGGCTGATCACAGTTGCATAAAGACGACGATGATGATGGTTGATGGATGATGGCGACGATGGTTTTAGATCATCGATGATCTATGATTGATCATGAACGACGCGATGATGATGATGATGTTGCTGATGCTGGATGATGAACGGTCGATGGATGATGACGAGGATGATGATGAGATAGGTTCGCAACAGCTGATGATGTCAGTGCAGGTGTATTTCGAATTATATTTAACAACCTGGATGACGATATAGATGTATCACTTTCTATTTGGGGGATGTATTTATGGACATGAATTCCGATGATGAGAGTGAGCGGCCTGTGTACAGGGTCGATCATCATGAATTGTCAGGAAAAATATTTTCTTGATTTCTACAACCTGGATGAGGGCGTTGGACACGGGCGCTCACTTGCACTAGGTGACTAGCTCAAGGCTGTTTGGTGCAAACTCGAGGCTCGCGACTGACCGAAGGTCCTCACCCGTGCCGCCACATTGCTGTAACGCGAGTGTTTGCTGACCTTTACGGGGTTTGCAACGTCATTCAATTCGGGCAAGTTGGTGGTTTTGAAGGCAGGCTACTCCTTATTTGTCGAAAAGGATTGCTCGATGCTTTGGTGGTCGATGCTATGGTGGTGTTTGGGCTTGCGTGTTCTGTTTTTCTTGTTTGCTTACAGTATTTGTTTGTTTTTTGTTTTGACATTTTGATGCATGTGGACCTTCGGTTTGGAAACCATCAATAGTTGTACAAAACTTGTTTTGCTTGAGACCTTCGGGGGTAGACTCGAATGGGAGTGTGCGGCTGTGCGGGGCCAAGCGCTATGAATTTTGGCTACGAAGCGAAATAGGCATAAAACAATCCGACCCTTGCATAGGAGGCTGGACTTGCGCGGAAAGCCTGGTTGAATGCAGCACTCAATGCCACACAGTATACCATGGAGGCTCTATGGATACTTAGTTCAGCAATTGGCGAGCACAGATCCACACATGTAAGTTAGGCAAAACTCGTGAAATAAAGTCTTTGGATACAGTGTTGCCAACGCAAAAAAGTGCAACAAGAGCAGCGCCACAGACTTAGCTTCAGTTGTGGCTGCGCTTGATTCAATGGCTGTCTTGCCTGAGGAAGGAATTTGCATTTCGATGCTTGAGGCGATGGTTTTGAGAATGCTTTATGAAGTGCTTCATGATTGTTTTGATCTTTGAAAGGCCATTTTGGTTCAACCAACGAACACGTTGCTGATTGCACAGGATGCTTTTGGCTGGAGGTGTGGTGAGGTTTCATGCACTGCCTGTCGACGAGGTGGAACCACGTAGCCGCTGCAAGGTCATTCGCTGGGGCTGTGGAGCAGCTCTTCTTGGCCTGCTTGGCGCTTGTGGTCTCTCGCTCTCCAGGAATCCGGGAATTCCACGTGGAAACGTGGAATTTCTGGGTGTCAAGCAAAGCATTGGCATTGACCTGGATGATGATTTCCTGCCTGAGCCTGACCCACAAGACTGGTCTTCGCTGAAGAAGGAGATCAAACTGGAGAAGTACGACCCGGGAGCTTGCTTGGGAAAGCTCAGCTTCGCTACAGCGTGGAGCGCATCGCTTGGACTGAAGTTGAGGGCTGCAGTGCAGGAGCGTCATGGAACATCATCCCATGTTTTTTTTTTTTTTTTTTTTTTTTTTTTTTTTTTTTTTTTTTTTTTTTTTTTTTTTTTTTTTTTTAAAGATATTGTTTTGACATTGCCAATGGGAATGCTTGGACCTTTTATGTTTTTCTGATAGAGGAGATGTCAGGGCTGTTTGATGCTGTTTGTGTACCCAGCGAAGCGTTTGGACTGGATGAAGACATGTTGGCTTTTGTGTTTTTTTCTTGTTGCTGTGTTGCAAGGTGTACGATGTAAACTGTATTAACTGTGAAGTGTTGTGACTGGTTGTGCTATTCTGCCACGAGAGAGGAGTGCAACGAAAGAAATTACCGGGATGATCCCACGCCCTTCCGGCGTCTCCACACGCTTCATCGAATGCCAAGCTTGCCACAAGAGGCATCTGTGTACTACCCGCCGTCTGCATGGGCCGAGTATGACATGGCCAGTCGAGGCAGTCGAGGTCGAGCTCTTGAAGAGACTAATGGCCCGGAGGCTGAAGCAGCCTACAACCTGACCTCTGGATTCTTGCGGCTAAAGACACGCTTCGCCTTTGGCAAGCAATGGACCTTCGAAGGCTGGCACTACATGAAGGAGAGGGGGAGAGAGCGCATGAAGAGACATGAGCATACAGGATATGGATATGCGATTCGTTTGGTTTTGTGAGCCAAACCATGTCAATGTTGTGTTAAGCTGCTCTGGGAGTTTGAGTTGCCCAACCAGTTTTCCAATGGTTGCTTTGTGTGAATACAGGGCATACATGCTGTCTGGACAGGAGCATGACTCTGGCTGTGTGTGGGACACCCGCAGCAGCAGTGCTGCTGCAGGCCTACGGGCATGTTTCTACGGTGGCCTCCTGAGAATTGATTTCTTCGATCCGAAGAATCCGAATGAGGCCGTTCCGAAGGTGGCCTCTGTGACTGCCGGCGGAGCTATACCCTTGTCCACCTGGATTCACCTGGCTCTGCAACGAAGGGGAAGCTACTTGGAATTTTTCATGCAGGGCAGCCCAGCCGGGAACGCAACTGTACCAGAACAGCTGACTGATGGGCTTCTTTCGCAATCCAACATCAGATTGGGGGGCTCGGTTGACAATAACCCAGGACAAAACTACAAAGGCATGATGAGCAACATGCGTCTTACGACTGATGCTGTGTACCCTCATCGCTTTGAGCCTGAAGCCAATCTTCAGCAGCTCAAGAAAACACGTTTTCTGCTCAAGGCACATTACATAGATGTCGTGACAATGCGGCAGATGAGGATGAGTGGGAATGTGACCACCAAGTATAGCCCGAATATTCTGCTGGACAGTTGGAAAGCACAGGGTCTCATTGATGATCACAACTTCACAGCGCCAATGAACAAAACGAGGTTGGAGGTGCTTCGGCGTCTCTTCCCGTTCGAGGATCCAATCTACAAAACCGAGTTCTTGGGAGCCTTCTGTGCCAGGGTAATCTTGCAGATTCTGAAGGAGATCACAACGATCCAGGACAAGTTGATGGACGCAGTGCCATTATGTGATCCCACTGCCACAAGCCCGCAGTGCTACAAGGCTGTGAACTACGCAGTTCGGCAAGCAGTGAGCGTGGGCCGTTACGGAGCTGAGTTGCGGCCGCGTTGCGAGCAGACTGTGAGTGAGGATTTCCGCGGAGATTTCAGGTGCAGCGAGCGAATGGAGGGCATTTCCTGGGCTTTGGATGGCTTCGGATCGCAACTCTCAAAGGCCTATCGTGTTTGCCATGACCATGATCTCAGCAGCCCGAAACTGGACTATGGAGCTTGTGTGGGTGAATCCTTGTCCGCCACTGGCTACATGTTTGCGTCTGCTCTTCTCCTGGAATCTGCCTTGGGCTTTGATTGTCCAAGTGACTTTGACGACGCTCGTCCACTGACAGAAACACTTCAGCTCACCTGTGCAAGGGACTCAACCGCTATCTTTCGTACAACTTTTCTGGCAGGCTCAAAGGCTGTGAGAGCAGCGGGCCACTGCGGCGGCAAGGACACACTGTGTGGTCGCAGCATCCTTCGAAGTGCTGCAGCCATCTCCGGCGTTGCGGAAGTGTTTTGATTTGATAGAATTCTTTACTTGTGTTTTCAGTTTCCCCGAACTACCGGGCTCCTCATAAGGCTCCTCTCAAGGCTTGAAGTATTAAAACATACGAAACATAGAAACTTTATGGCAGCCTTGAAACCGAATCCAGAACACGTTCTCTTAACCCAGATGTCAAGAACAAATCGGCATGTGCTGCATCCTGGCTCGCAGCTATCATGACAGCCAAGCAACGGATCTACCTTTCAAAAGCACACGCATGCAAGTTTTCTGTTGGCAACATGTCTCCGCAGCACACTTCCAAACAATTCTCTTCCCAAGACTTCTCCCAACATGTCTCCAACATAGATTCCCCAACGCTTGCCCAACAACACTTCTTCGCAACAGTCTTCCCAACTCCTCCCCCGCAACACTTCTCCCAACACTTTTCCACAACACTTTGCCGCAGCACTTTGCCCAGCACTTCTCCACAACACTTTTCCCAACACTTCTGTGCAAGACTCTTTCTTTTAACACTTTTCCGCAACACTTTTCCCATCAAATCGCCACAACACTTCTCCACAACACTCTTCCCAACACTTCTCCACAACACTTTTGCCAACGCTGCTCCACCACACGCCTCCCAAGACTCTTCCCAAGACTCTTCCGAACACTTCTTCACAATTAATGCTTCCCCAAACACTTTTTCGCTACACACTTCCCAACATCTTCCACAAGACCACTCCACACCACCTTTCCCAACGCTTACACTTCCCCACAACACTGTTCACAGCACCAACACTTCTGCAGAACAATCTTCCCAACACTTTTCCACAACACTTTTCCACAACACTTCTCCACAACGCTTCTCCACAACACTCTTCGCAAGAGTTCTCCACGACACCAAGAGTTCTCCAAGACACTCTCCCCAACACTTCTGCAAACCACTGTACCAACATTTCTCCACAAGACTTCTTCCCGACACTCTTGGGCAACCTTCTCTTTGCCAGGTACGGCGCGTGCCACCAATTCTGCATCAGCACCTTGACCAAACACTTGCACTTGCCACACAATCTGAAGCAGAACCTTCACCGGGCACTGCGCCCGCCACGAAATCTGCAGCAGAGACTTCACCAAGTGCCTGCCACGCAAATTGCATCAGGAACTTCACTGCACCGTCTTCGAAATTTGCACTTGTCAGCACAAAGCACCCTTCAAGTCCTGCGTTTGCCACAAAATACTACCCCAACTTCAGCTTTTTGGACAAGAACACGCGCCTGCCACAAAATCTAAAAAGATCACTTTGCCATATGATTTTGGCACTTGTCTGCAGAAGCAAAGCACTCCAAAACGCAGCGATTCCAGGAAAATACACACTTTTTCGACACGACATTTCCAAACGCATGATGAAAGCAAAGTTCACAATCGAAATGCATTTCGATAACGCACTCAAAGACTCAAAACATTGGCCCCATGGAGGAGCCTTATGACACCACGAACGCTTGCGGACGCCTGCGGGCACTTGCAAACTTGACCACGGGGAGCGAACTTAACCCCTGAACCCCACTAAGCGGGAACCCTGCGCTACGTCGGGAAGCATGTCTGAAACCGTTCAAGTTCAATGTTCAACTGAGGTGGGAGTCTTCCAGCGAGTGTTCTGCCACGGGCCAACACCTTGCTGCCAGAGGAATGCTGACACGAATGAGTTGGAATGCGCCTGTGAGAAGGATGATCTCATTGAGCTCAGGAGAGATGACCGTTCGGACAGCCAACAGTGTGGCAGGTTTTCGGGCTCAGCATTGAAGCTTCTTGGCTCCGCTAGTCTGGCAGCCACGGAGGCAGAAGGCCAGTGCAAGTTCTCAAAGAGTGCCCAGAGCTCTTGCAACACCATGGTGCCCGCAGCCATGGCAGGTTTGGGTTTCTTCATTGAAAATGCCGCCAGACAGTCTCGAGACTGCCCCAAACCGCCCTTCCCACTTGATCCGGAGGAGAGAAGAAAGGATAAGATACTTGGACCAGCTGACCCTCAACAATTCTACCAGTGTGGTCAGGACACTAAGCGCCTTGGCGTATCCATGGATGTGATATCTCGTGGTATTGCCGGTGCTGTGGTGAACTGCCCGTATGGTAATGCGGATGATTTGGAGCAGGTCACCAAACCAGTGAAGTCAGCTAGGCGCTTTTTCACGCCATGAACCTGACTGAGACCAAGCAGCATAAAGCATCCGATGCCCATCAAGCGGCCCAATTTCTTAGAGAAGACTGACCAAGCAATCAAGTAGCGTGCGTTTGTGCCAAGAGTAGCATACAACATGCTTACCTTGGTACAAACATTGTTGGATAATTCGAGAATTAGAGAATTAGCTGTAATCAATATGATGTTGCATGAGGGTGCTGCGGCTGACCGGCCGCTGGGTTTTAGAGACTCAAATTTGGTCTCCAGGCTTGCCGACGGCGACATACAGATCCGCAGTTTTAATGCTAGATACATTGCACGTCATTGCACATGGACGCCGTTTCGATTTTGTCTGCTAGTTGATGGCCAATGGAGCATTCCGCCCGCTTACAGATTCATGTTTTATATCTTTTGCGATCTATATCGCAGTTTCTTTCAAATTTGATCCAGTACTTTTGGCGCGAACCATATCTAATTGGCGGTTCTGCTCATCGCCCATCTCCTGTGTGCAGCCTTAGACTTGTTCCTGACTTTGCAGAGCAGCAAGCTCTTGAAGCCGTTCTCCAAGCAAAGAGGAGCAATCACGTTGAGGCTACTCTCAACAGCGCCAATGCCACCCGAGCATTGGCGTGCATTGGTATTGTTTCTGCACTTATAAATTTGCAAGATTTTTGCGCGCCGCATGCTGGCCCCCACCGATGCATGTGAATTCTGCAGCTGACTGCTGAGGTAGGCAGAGCCTGAGACAAAATTCACTGGATGCGATTGTGGTTCTGAGTTTGCAAATATAAATGTCCAATTTAGTTTTTGCACTCTGTATGGCATATGGTTTCACTTGTTTTGTGAAGGAACCAGTTTTTGTCTTCAGGCCAGCCAAAGGTGGGTCACACGCAGAGGTGACCAGTTGGGCGCGGCTCGAACCATTTTGTTTGTTCCCGCAATCTCTTGGGTGATTGGCAATGAAGGAGCAGTTAAAGATGATCTGCACATGTTGGTTTGGGAGCAGTCACGTTTGCTTTTGGACCCATTGCCAAACACAGCTGTGCAAATGATCATAGCGGTCATAGCGTAATAGATGTGGTAGATGTGATTTCCACGTGCTTCCACGGCCTCACAGAACAACAAGCTCTTGAAGCTGTTCGTGAGTCTATATAAGCCAAAGCGAGCTTGCTTAGAATCTTAATGAAAGCTATAGATAGCCATTTTCAGCTTTGCCATGCAAAAAGCAGATGTCATCAACCGTGAGGCATCTGCACGGAGAAAAAAGGAAGGGGATTGGGCTCTTGTGCTACATGTCTAGAGGTTTATTTTTTTGGATCCAAAGTTTGACATAGCTGTACATTTATCCTGCTAACACTGGATGCGGAGTTTGATTTGGCCAAGCAGCCACAGGCGTTCGGTGTTTCGTCCTTTCTACGTATTTTCACGGGTCTTGAAAAGGGGCAAGCTTGCCGTGATTTTGCGGAAGGCAAACCACTGGGAACCCTCGAAATGTTTGGGGGCCCAAGTATCACATCATCGCACACAGACACCATGCCACGGTGCGTGTTCTGGTCTCCTTGCAAATGTGACACCCACCTCTTGCACCTGCGCTTGTTCCGTCAATAGTGCCGGGCCGAACGATGTTTGACGGGACATGGGCATGAAGGCTGCAATTCTTACAACTTGTTGAGTAGGTGTTGCCATCAATGAAGGTGAATTTTGCACTTTGCCGCTTCCGGATCAAGGGCAAACGTTCAGCACCATCATGTTGACAAACATCCCACCACACGTTCGCCATCTGCAATTCAGCGCAGGTTGTATGTTGGTGGAATTCACATGGCGGCCTATGATGCCAGAAGATGTCGGTGGTCCGGGACATCTCGACAGCACCTCAGCGTGGAATTTACAATCTTGAAATAGGCAATCAACAGTTGTTTAGGACACATTTCGGACACATCGTTGATGTTTTGCTTGACTGGCTCGAGAATGGAATTCAAGCACGCAAATGTTTCAATCAGTCCTTCGGAATTCCAAGAATGCCGGCCTTCCGAATTTCAAGAATGCCGGAAGAGGGCATCGAACCCAGGGAGATGCTGCTGGCAGCGGGTGAGGCGAATCCGGGTCCTGTGCTCCGTGTCAGCGGCGCCGCGCTGCTGGCACTCTTGCTGGTGGCTACCGCTGCGTTGACGGTGCTGTCTGCAGGTTCTGGGATCGGTTTCTCCAAAGTCGGCCAACGGACGAACTTCGACATTTTGCCCAAGGATCAGTGGGCCAAGGTGTATCAAGTGACGGATGTCAACTCAACATTGGCCGGTCAGCGCTACTATGAATACACGCACCACTCGGAGTTTTTGAAGCAAAAAGCAAACTTGTCAAAGACGGTACATTGGCAAATTGCGCATCGTTGCCCCAAGATAAGGTTGAACGTTGAGATGCGCACGAGCCGTTCCTTACCCAGCGTCAGCGCATCGACGGCAAACCAGTGCCAGAAATCTTGCACTGAAACTTCGACCTGCGTCGCGTTCACCTGGAATCCCTCCAGTGCCAACACATCATGCACAAGGCACGCTGCCACTTCTGGTGAGCAAGTGCGAGCGAGACCAGCTGCTGGTTCCACCGGAGGGCTGCCGTGCGCGCAGGACGCGGCTGCTGTGTGGTGGCCCACGCAGGAGATGGATTATTTCCAGCTGCCGCAGGTTCCAGAAGAGGCCAGTGCTCCACATCCCAACATCCGGATGCTTTGCTTGGCCGTTTTCCGACCATGGACTAAGGAGCAAGAGTTGCTTGAGATGCAGTACAAATTGGGAACCGGGATTTTTGCCTGTGACCAATATGCAGTTTACAGCTCTACAGCTCTTGAAATTGTCCCAGGTTTGGTCTCTCGCCGGGTGTCTAGTACTCTTATGGATGAGTTAGGCGGCCCATACATTACTGTGTTGAATCTGGGATCCTTCATGGCTGTTTGGAGGCAAGTCTTCCTGGACGGGGAGTACTTGAAGCATGACTGGACCATCAAGGCAGATCCAGACACAGTCTTCATCAAGCAGCGCTTGCAGCCGTTGCTGCAGATGTATTCCATTGGGGTCGGGCCCAATGGGAGATATCTCAACAACTGCCCGGATGGCTTGCACGGCCCGCTGGAGGTTTTTTCACAGCAGGCACTTTTGAGCTTAGCAAAGAACGCTCATCACTGTGCTGTCTCCCTGGATGGGGGCAAGGTATGCAGTGAGGACTGCGAGAAGTTTTGGACGGGCTCCTACACTGAGAAGTGCAATGGCAGGTGCACCCAATGGTGGGGAGAGGACATTTGGCTTGACCAGTGTTTGAGGAGCTTTGCGCACGTGGAGAATATTTTCGTGCCAGGGCTACTAATTGAAGACCACTGTCATCCCACTCCTGGCTGGAGGGATTGCCTCGATATGACGGCAGTGGCGTTTCATCCTTTTAAGGATGTGCATGAGTACCAGGCGTGTTTGCAGGCAACGCTAGGCAAGAACCTTCTCTAGCACCAAAGTCGTGCTGATCTGTTTGCAAAGCAATCAGATCGTGCAACCAAGATCTGGCGTTTGAAAGCAACTTGATGGACTCGCTCACAGCCGCATTTTTCTCAAGAAGTCTCCATTTCGCGAGCCTCTGGTTTCCAGCTCCCTGGCCGAGGTTCTCGAGGCATTTGCCCGTTGCCCGTTGGCCTTTGCCAGTTGGCGAGTGGACATGCGGCCCGGACACGGCTTGAGGAAGGGGTCCGAATCAAAGAAACACTCCGCCAACATTAGCCATAGAAGGATGTCATAATGATGGTAGACGCCCCGACGCGTTTTCTTCTTTTTTTGGCCAGTGCAAGACCACTATGGTAATGTCAGTTTGGCGAGTTCTTGTTTTGTCGCCGCTAAATGTTTTGAAGATCAGAGAGATTCAGCTTTGGCAAGCGTGCATGGCCAAGCCCTTACTTGGTTAGTGAGTACTCCAATGGTACTTGAAGTTGTCTTGGGTGGCAGACACTGCAATCTGAAGGCAATGCTCATCCGGCTGCCTTTCATTTGAGGCTTGAACATGGGGCACTTGCGAAATTTCTCACAAGCAAACAGCGGATTCACTACCTTTCCGTTGTCCATTATTTGTGCACATCTTTCTTAGGCGTTGAGACTTCCCATGCTCAGGTTGGGATGCTCTTCGGAACAGCTGCATTTGGTATGCCAGCATGGAAAAGCGCTCCACGCAGTCAGCTTCCTTGCTGTGTTGATGCAGAATGAGTGTCTGAGCGGAGATGCTTTGACGCAAAACATGCGTTGCCTTGGCTCAGACATGACACTGAATAGCTGTAGAACTTTAGTTGAGAGCTTCATGGTTAGTGTGCCTAACGCTTCTCGTGCGCCTTCCCGTTCGGGTGGAGCTGGAGGACGAGTTGACAAGGCTGGAGATCGGATCTTCTGTTTGGGGGGCCGACATTGGAATCATGGGACCAGGATCGGATTCGAATTCCTTCTCTGCGGCAATTTATTGCAGAATAGTTGAGCTTCGTTTTGCAGAGATTGTGTTGAGCTGAAACAATCCTTCCATAGAGATTGTGCAGGTTTCCTTCCGGTTTGATGTTCAAACACTAATGCTGGGGTCTTTACTGGACCCCAAAGGACTGCTGTTTATCCAGTCGATGCCGTCGCATCTTACTTTCGCCAGACCCTGCCCCAAATCACTCCAATGGATTTCTCCGAATGCGATACCTGTTTGATGCCACCAGAGCTGGCACCTTATCGTTGCGAGACTTCGGCCTGCCGGAGAAGCCCTTGTGGCAAGCCCTGCATCCACCTCAGCGCCAAAAACGAGCCGAAGACTTCTTGGTCAGAGAGATCGACCAGCAGGGCTATGTTTGCGAAGCAACCTGCCAGCAACCGCCAAATATCGAGGACTCCGTGGAGCAAAGCGGCTGGTCGTTTGTTCTCACCAAGTACTGCTGCTCCACGGAGTCAGCCCTTCGGCGGCTGAGCAAGGCTGCCGGGATCAGAAGAAGCAGTCTGCAGGTGAGCGGCCGCAAAGACACCTTTGCCTTGACGTCGCAGCGGGTGCAGTTGCTATCGGAGGCGAGGGCTTTCTCGGTGGCACAGCTGCCAAGTGACCTTTGGGTGTCTGGCTGGAGAAAGGGCTGTCAGCCCTGGCATCAGGGCAATCATTTCCGCGTCTCGCTGTGGTGGAATTCGAATGGGCCGCTGGGCAGGGAGCGATTGCTTCTGCAGAAGGTCTTGGCCGAAGTCGCGGTTTCCGGATTCACCAACTTCTATGGGCCGCAGCGGTTTGGCTTGATGGCGCACGCAGCTGGCCGGCACTTGTTGCGAGAGGAGCATGAAGAGGCCATTCGCAGCCTTCTGTCGAGCTATGCAACGCTGAGTGGTCGCAAGGGCTTTTGGGAGCACCAGGAGGCCATCGAGCGCTTCCTGGCTGGAGGTAGTGCCATCGATGCCCGGCGCGCAGTGATGCGGGCCTCTGGGGGTCGTTGCCTGGCTGCAAAGTGGCTGGATGCTGCCTGCCACACGGATGCAACGAGCCTCTGGGCCACCATGGGTCAGGATAGGAAGTTTGCCACAGAGGCCGTGTCCTCGCTCCTCTGGAATTATTTGGCGGCCTTCAGGGTGATGCATTATGGCAATGCTGTTGTAGCTGGCGACGTTGTAAAACGGTTGTCCACTAGCGGCATGGAGGTGACCATTGTGCAAGCTGGAGAGGAACCCCTTTTCAGTCTCAGTGACGTGTACTTGCCCCGGCTTTTGTCCGGAGATCCAGGGGTCCCAGCGTCTCCTCGTTACGAAGCGTCCGAGGGCCAGCCGCTGCGGGGCGCTGCCTTTGTGTTCCCTGCGCTCCCAGAGCTGCGGTGCTATGCCCGGGACTTGCTCCGCAGCTGGGGCCTTCCCGAGTGCCCTGAGCTTTCGGAGCCGCGGTCTCGAGCCGCCGCCTGGCTCGATGGGCCCCGACTCGGCGCGCCCTTCCGCGCCTTGGTCTGCCGGCCTCGAGTGACCGCCAGCTTCCGTCGGGGCCACGGCCGCGAGGGCCGCGAGGGCCGCGAGGGCCGCGAGGGCCGCGAGGGCTGGGAACGTGCCTTTGTGCCGGGTCGTGATGGGACAGGTCGTCTTCCTGCAGAGCTCACCTTGGCCGCTGAGTTTCGCACTGTGTGTGGTGACGTGTTGGGTGAGCACGAAGCAGCGCGGAATCTGCAATTGGAGTTTGCATTGCCCGTGGGCGCCTTTGCAACGTGCCTAACCCACCAGCTAGCAGGGTGGACTCTTGGTAGAAGTAGGCACAGCTGGGCTCCGTCTTGAAGATCCTGGCAAACTTGACTTTCTGCAAAGAACAGAAAGAGCAGCTCGCAAGTTGCTGGAACACAGCAACAGCCAACAGCATGTTGGGCTTCTAGCTCTGTGCAAGCCTTCTTTGCTTTGATATAGCTTGCAGGTCATTGTGATACTACGCCAAGCAATGGACTGATTGCAGTTGGATGTGGTTCCAGCTAGAATAATTACTGCGCTCGCCACCCAAGACGCCAACACGTCGAAAATATTTTAGTTCCTGACAGGAGCAGCATGTTGAAGAACGGTCTTGGCACGCACACACACACACAATTCTGCAAATTCAAGATGGCGCGTGCTATGCCTTTCTGATGCTGGGAAGTATTGATAAACATCACTGACACCATCAAAACCCGGGAAAGCACACATGTTCCACCAACAAACACAATACACTTGCAGAATCAACTGAAAACCAAAGCCAGGGATGCCAGCGATGCCGAGCATCCCATCCTCAAGACTGCGGAAGCACTTTCCAGAGAACTTTAAATACACACACAACAAGCGAGTCAATATCAGCAGTCATCTCCAAACCAACCTGACAGCACATATTCTTGATCATGAGCAACCCGACTGCTTGGGAATCAAATGTACACAAATCGGATAAGCTCATGAAACCCCAGCCCGGAGCCAAGCAAACAAGAAGATGCAAGCAACACAAATAAAGAAACAGCGGAACGCTGGAGTTCACCGTGCTGTTTTCACCGGTTTCAAATCCCAAATGCTCCCGAAAAGCTTCCGCCCCTTGCTAGCAGCTTTTAGAGGAGGGCTTTTAGAGCAAGACCTTCGATCAAACATTTGTTGACATGCTCCAGCGTCGGACGTATGAGCCTTTGGGAATGCAGCATGCAGCATGTGATCCGCTGTTCGATCCAGGCTTCCTTCAGGCCGCCAAGCAGGACGTTGCACATCGAATGAGGGACTCTTGCACCGAACTGTGGGTCGCAGGAGTGCGCAGACAGCGCAGGCCAGTTGCAAGCCTTACAGGCTGTAGCCCTGCAGCTCCATTTGAAATTCGGTGCAGGCGAATGCTACATTCTTTTGGCCGGCAAGCAGGACACAGCCCAGGGATGCAGTCAGTTGAGAGTCTCGGACAGAGCATTGTGTTTGCAGGACTGCAGAGGGCGTGTGCCAAAAGGACCGTTGCTGCACACCGTCGCGTACCATGGCATTGTGGTATCGTGAGTCAGGATATCATGGCCTGCCTTTTGCCTGTCAGTAGCTGAGTCTCTCGAGCGGTCAAGTGGGCCAGTTCAAGATGTTGTTGCTGGTTCTCAGCAGGGAATGAGGTAATAGAAAAACAGAACCTCCCTTCTTCCCATGGGGAATGACACAGAAAGACCATCCCTTGTCCATGGGGACCCCGGTTCATTCCTTCACATTCCCTCGCAAGCCTCTCAGGATCCAGCTCCGCCGGCCCCGGGCTCGAGTGTCTAGAGATCGATCGGCGAGAGATCGAGCGAGTGAGCGCTCCGAGGCATTGTGCAACAACATGCGAGAGCTCACAGCACGGCACCAAGAGTTGGGTTTCCATTGGCTTGGCCTGGACTCCTTTTTTTTTTGCCTTGTTTCCCTCGTTTGTGATGCATGGCTTTTTGAACCTCAAGGCCCATTTGCGTGGCATCTATCACTCCATCAGCCATGAGGCATGATGCTAGTGAACCTTTTGGGCATTGAACCAGGGGAGACAATGACACGTTGCACTGCTTGCCCATGCTGTTCAACTTCCTGGCACTCACATGGAGGCTGCCGCTTCAAGACTTGTGCCATGCGCAGGAGCCGGAGAATGACACGGACGAGCTCGGCCAAGAGTGTCATCCTTTTGTCGTGGGTGCCTCAAAGGCAAGGCACTACAACAACACGGCGCTCGATCGGTGTTTCGAATCGCCGGAATGGCAAAGCCGCCCAAGGCCCTCTGCGACAGCATGAATCAGCTTACGGCCGGGAACCTGAGACGCGGAGCATTGCCAAAGTTTCGATGCCTATGGCCTTTCTCAAATTGAAGCGAAGTCACGAGTCCGGAGTGGACGCCTTTGCCTCGAGGACAAGCTTCGCGGCATCTTCCACTCCTTGAGGAACGAGGCGCGCAGCCGAGCTGGCCGAGCCGTGGCCGACCAGTTCGGACGATGCGAGGAGACGGAGAAGGAGCTGAAGCGGCATCCGCTCTTGGCTGCGGCCTTGGAGCCACGAAGAGGGTCGGAGCCGAAAGGAAGCGGGCTGTCGTCCCATTCACAGCTTACTGTCGAGTTGTTGTGATTCATGCTTGCCGCCTGGTGCAACGGGTTCCACCTGGAAGCTCATTGAGCGCCAGGCATCCCTTGCAGAGTCGGTGCATCGGGAGGCGATGCAAATGTCCGGGCCGCAGCATGACTCGGTGCACATCAGACTCTTGCTTGGCCGTGACAGCGCTGCCTTGAAGACACACAAGGCAAACAATTTTGGACAAGTAGCAAGCTACATGGGTGTGGCTCAAAAAAGTGGTACCAAAATGGCACCCTGGTAAGTGGAACCAAAGACTAAAAACCGCGTAACCCCAGCTCTTTAATTTTGAGCCACAGCCACATCCACACACACGCTCACATGGCTCGGTGTTTGCATCTCGATTCTGGCATGGAGAAGTGCAGGCTGGACGAGCCTTTGAAGCCGGTCCCGGTGAAGCCCAAGTTAGAGGCATGGAGCTTTGGCTGTGGAAGGCTTCGACTGGAGCATTGCTGCAGGGTTGCTATGAGTTTCAATGGGGACACGCTTATTAAATCCTTGGTGGACATAAATCCCAATGTGAATATCGATCACGAATCTAAGAGGGTTTCCACTACCCCCAAACTATTGCCCCAAGAGAACCCACGGTTGCCCAATTCAAAATCATCATTTGAGATGCGCTCCGTTCACCAATGAGCTTTCGCCTCCAGTGACACCTGCTTGCAGGTGGCGGCAAACCAGGTGCCAGCGCCAGCTCCTACGGTGCAGACCACCACCGTTGGCCTGGGGCTCATCAAGTGCTGGCCGTCTTTGTTCTCATTCTCAGCGGGAGCAATGGTCAGTATTCTGCAGGCGGCCTTCGGTTCTTTGTCTCTCACCTATCCATTGCCGCAGCTCCCGTTGAATTGGCTGTGGGCCAAAAATAGGCACAATGGAACCCTGGCAAATGGAAACATGGACCAAAACCTGCGGTCCCCTGTTGGTTTAATTTTGACCCATACCCAATTGTGGGCGAAGTTCGCTGAGGCCATTCGCCGCCGGCCCGGCATGTGGAGGCCGATGCGCGTGCGACAGCCAGAGCTCCCAAGTCGCCGCCGACTCCAGGCGGGTGGAAGCTTGCAGATGAGTCGGGAACGGTTTACCCACCTGTGCTCCTGTTTGCTGCAGGAGGAAGTAGACTTTCCCAGAGGTTGTCGGCCCTTTTCATTTTGTCCCTTGGACAATGCACATGTGCGAACTGGGCCATGGATGTGTCGCTGTCATGCTCAATTTGTGTGTTTCCTAAGATTAGGTGTCCCATTTCAGCTGGTTCTGGAAGCGAAGAAGGAAGCGGGTCAAATTTTGGGGCTCTTTCTGGATAATTTGCAAGTGACTTGAACACTCGGTGCCTTTTTTCTTTTCTCGCAGCGACAGGCTGCGCTACAGCCGCGCCGGAGTCTCGGTTTGGAGGGCGGAGAACTCGCCCGAGACAGCAGACTGTCAGGCGAGGGAGGGTGTTTGGCCTGCAAAGCAACTTGCTCTGCGATTGCACCTGCTTTGGGTAGACCCCTTTCTTCCCAGGATTTGATTCCGACTCTGCCGGAGCCATGATGCTCCCTGTAACGCGGTGCAAATGGCTAAAGATCTCTGTGAGAGCCATTCTTTTTTTCCGCGGAGACTCTCGACGTGCAGCTTTTGGCTTGTGATCTTTCTAATGCAAGTGAACAAGGGCCTCTGTTCAAAGCAAGTGCAAAAAGTTGTAGCGCGCAAGATTGGCCCGCAGGAGGGAGACGGCATCCCAGCGCAAGAGAGCTGCTTCCAAAGAGTCGGGTCCAGAGTTTGGCCCTTAGTGCTGGGTGGCAAACTCAGAGGTATGGGCAAAGTTAGGGGCACCCCAAGCTTCTCCACAGGAGCCTGTTTTTTGTTGCTCGCAAATTGAAAGTAGCGAGGCGAGGGACGTCATTCTTCAACATGTGCATCGCTCCACGCGCGGAAGCATGCGGAAGGCTGTTCGCAGAAGCTTTGTGGCTTAAGAACCCTTTGCCTTTGTGAAAGTGTGAAAAGCCGAGCTGCCCTTTCCGTGCCACTCGCGAAAGCAAAGCTAAGCACCGAACGCGGAAGGATGAAAAGGTACCGTGGAAGCCCGCGGCCAGAACCCGGTTGGATGACAAGGAGCTTCCGGGTCCGCGGAAGCTTGAATGTCCAATGAGTAAGGGGAATAAAAACCGGCGTTCGAGCCGGATCCCAACCGGCCAGTGATTTGACACCATGCTTTTGCAGAACAGCGGGGGGCCTTGGGTCCCAGCCCAGAGCGATGAGGCGGCTGAAGCGCTTGGGTCTGGTCGGCCTCCCTGAGCGGAAGGCTGAGGCAGGTGCTGGCAGTATGATTTGTGCTCTGCAGAATCTGAAGGGGACTGAAAGCAGTACAAGAAGGATGGCTGATTGAGAAAAGTGGGCTTGACTGTAATATCCTTGATCGGATCCAGGCTACTGACCTTCGCATGTTGTGACACGGGCTGGGCTGACTGCCGCGTGCAGGCTGAGGGTCAGCCCACAAGGCGGGGATGTCTTGATGAATGCTGGGAAGGGAGTTTGGGAAGCCGTCACGCAATTCAATTGATGTTAAGCCCGCTCCGGGACCGAGCAGAAGGCGACAACATGCGCCAGACCAATTGTCATGTCAATGGCCACATGTATCCTGGAGCTGACTTGTCTGGTTTTCTTGCCCGCTTCGTTCTGCCCCAAAGTCTGTGAACTTTGGATCGTGGGGATGCGGAAAGGGGCAGAGTTCCTTACCAAGTAAGCCTTTCTTGACAGTCGCATTGCTCTTGCGGTGCCGGCCATGTAAGCCCTGGTGAGTAACACTGGTGCCAGTGAAGGAAAGGCTGCATACTCATATTGTGAGGCGCAGCGTTTCTGAATGTGGAGCGCCCTCTAAATGGTTGGTGAGCATGAATCCTATTGCAAATGATGTCCACAAAAGGGTCCAACCACACAGACATACACATGCACAGGCCTCAAGACACAACGTGCAACTTTTGTGGTTCAAACTTTCAAACCATGACATTGGTTGACTTTGGGTGAGCAGGTGCCTCTCATCGAAAGACTAGAAAGGGCAAAGTGCGGAAGGGCAGAGGGCAGAAGGGCAACGGTCATGTGAGGAGAGATCTTCCCGCTCCGCGGAAGCGAGCGGCATCCAGAGAGTCTGGACCAGAGCGGCATTCTTAGCGGATGCTTCCTGAGCGGAGTGTGCTGTGGCCTGCTGGTGGTCTGTTTGTCATGCTTGTCAGAGTGGAAAGCCTGTTTAGCTGTGCGAATGCTGCCAGGCGGCTCAAGCGCTTGGGCTTGGTTGGCATTCCGCAGAAAGACGAGGCCCGTTGAGTCTCAAAGAGAGTGGGGCCACCACGGGCCTGAGCTTTTGCAGAGTGGCTAGCCGTCCGGGGCACTGCATGAACCAATGTGGGAGGCAGCACAGCCCGGATTGAGGCAGGTTACTCGGCGGTCCGCCCTGCATGATATGTTTTGAGTTGCCGAATTGAGGCGGCTGCGGCGTTCTGAGTCTGAGGCCAGGGGTGTATGGGTTTCTGCATGTGTAGACGTACATCGGCAATGCCTAGCCCAGCGTCGCATTGCACTCAGGAGGATAGAAGTGGATGCAGGCCGTTGTCTGCAAAGCGTGCGGGGCTCAAAAGGGATGGTTGTCAAGAGGGATGGGTGAGAGCCATAACAAGGGGTCTTGTCCAGGTACTCCCTCGCAGCGCGTTGGCTCAAAGAAGGCTCAACAGGCAAGTTTGCATGGAGCTGAGATGGGTTGTTTTTCTCTTGATAGCTGTTGGCTGTGGAGGTAAGTGATGCGGTGGAGAAGCGTGAAGAAAAAGAGAAGACTGACAAAGGCGACAAGGCAGTGGGCCTGGGGTGTCGAGCTCCAAGCAATGAATGAGACGGCAACGTCAACGGCACAGGTGAGCTGGGAAGCAGCGCAGGGATTGAGGCCAGGTTGCTTGGCACGCTTTGCATCGGATATTTTCGAGCCGCATTCAGGCGGCTGCGACGTTCTGAATCTGAGGCCAGGGGTGCATGTATACGTTTGTGTGTGTTTACATGTATGCAGACAGACAGACAGGCAGGCAGGCATGCAGGCATGCTGGCATACTAGTATATGTAGATATAATATGTATATATGGTCCCGTGTTCCGTGTTGCTACCCCCTCCCCCCCCCCCCCATATGGTATGGGTCCTCCAGGACCCCCCCCCCGGCCCGACCCGAGCCCCCGGCCGGATCCTGTCACCGACGGTCCCACCCCCACCCCGACCCCCTGAACTCGCACCCCGACACCCCGGCACCCCCACCCCCAGGACAAGCCAACCCGCAACCAACCATAAGCCAACCCTAAACTAACCCTAAACGAACCCTAAAGACCCCCTAAACCAAGCCCTAAACCGTAGACCTCTAAACCTAAACCAACCCTAAATCAACATAAACCAACCGTAAACTAACCCTAAACCAACCCTAAACTAACCCCAAATGCACCCTAAACCAATCCCTAAACAATAAACCCTAAACCTAAGCCAACCCTAAACCAACCCTAAACTAACCCCAAACCAACCCTAAATACACCCTAAACCAAACCGTAAACCGCAAGCCGAAACCAACCCTAAACCAACCCTAAATCAACATAAACCAACCCTAAACCAACCCTAAACTATCCCTAAATACACCCTAAATATACCCTAAACCAATTCTAAACCAACCCTAAACCACCACAACCCAACCACAGGACCACAACCACGGGGGGGGGGGGGGGGTACTTGTCTGACCCATGACCATTGGTGGGGGGTGGGGGCCTGCAACGCTGTACCATATATATATATATATATACAGATGCAGAGGTAGAGAGGCAGACAGGCAGACATGCAGACAGGCAAATAGGCAGACAGGCACACAGACAGACAGGCCGACAGGCAGACAAAGATAGACGAGACAGACACGCAGATAGAGGCAGAGACAGAGACAGGGACAGGGACAGAGACGGACACAGACATAGACAAAGACACAGACACAGACACAGACAAAGACACTGACACAGACACAGATACATATACACAGACATAGATACAGACACAGACATAGATACAGACCCAGACAGAGACAGTGACAGAGACAGCGAGAGGGAGACAGAGACAGAGACAGAGACAGAGGCGGAGACAGAGACAGAGGCGACAGAGGCGGAGACGGAGACAGAGGCGAGGCAGAGACAGAGACAGAGACAGAGACAGACAGACAGAGACAGACAGACACAGACAGACAGACACAGACAGACAGACACAGACAGACAGACACGCAGGCAGGCAAGCAGGCAGGCAGACATACAGGCATACACTGCATGTGTGTTTGGAAGCACATGCATCGCTTTTCTTTTTGCCATTTTGCAAGAAAGAGGGTGGATAATGTTATTGAAAATGTGTGTGGGAGTGCAGAGGGTTTGCCCAGCAGAAACTTCTCGGAAGGTGTACATGTTAAACAACCAGGTGCAACACAGGCTACTGTTTTTGGTAGAGGGCGTTCCATGTCACACGAAATCTGCTTGCTGCTTTAGCCGGTTAGACGAGAACTAGCGAGGAGGAGACTCCTTGGCACAGGGACCAAGACACCACTTGCCTGTGGGAGACTCCTATCCCTCGGTTTTGAGGGTGCGCTGTCTGAAGTGTCACTCGTGCCGCTTGGGGTCCTGAGCCTGGGACCGCTTAGCCTTGAACTCCAAGCGGCTCCAGGGAAGGAGGGCGCCTAAGGTAAACCAGCCTGCTCAACGGTGGTTGGTCAGAAGCAAAGTGAGCAAAAGTCAAGCCTGTGGCAAGAGCTAGGCCAACGGCAGCGGAAGTTGAAGTAACAAACACATGCCCGCGGAAGCGTGCAGAACAATCTCAACCTATCATGCACGCGAACGAAACGGTTCACTCCGCGGAAGCTTAGCGGAAGGGTTGGCGGAAAGTTTAGTAATGACACAGGTATGAAAGATACGATAGTACAAAGCAAAGCTTGCCTGAATGTGAGGGTGCATGTATGCAGAGCGCAGTATCGCATTGCACTCAGGAGGATAGAAGTGGATGCAGGCCATTGTCTGCAAAGCGTGCGGGGCTCAAAGGGGATGGTTGTCAAGAGGGATGGGTGAGAGCCATAACAATGGGTCTTGTCCAGGTACTCCCTCGCAGCGCGTTGGCTCAAAGAAGGCTCAACAGGCAAGTTTGCATGGAGCTGAGATGGGTTGTTTTTCTCTTGATAGCTGTTGGCTGTGGAGGTAAGTGATGCGATGGAGAAGCGTGAAGAAAAAGAGAAGACTGACAAGGGCGACAAGGCAGACAAGGGTGACAAGCCCGAAAAGGCCGACAAGGCTTGGTGTGGTATTAGGTCAGCAATCTTGCAGGGTGATGCCTGACAGGAGAGCGTTAGCAAGATGGATGCCGATTTCAGGTGGGCGGCTGATGGCATGTGTTTATTGGGCACACTCCAGTGGCTTCAATGCCTAGCGTGGAATCCTCAAGCCATAAGCTCACCAGTGCTCCGCGTATAGATACTGACATGGAGGCAGATCAACTTATAAACCTCGGGCGGTACGAGCCACACGTGATTGTTTCTGGAGAAAGCAACGCTCACATGCGAACAACCTACATGGACGCACTTTGAGGTCCACATTTTTCTCTTTTTCTCGCTCGATTTTGATCCATCTGGATCCAGGCGAATGCTGCAATGTGCAGCCTTAGAGGTGCGGGTCCCAGGCTCCCAGCGGTGATTCTTCAAACAGGGGCATGCCTTTGTTGGGGCACCTTACAAATGAAAAAATCCAGTTGGCGTTAAACCCTCGCCGGGTTTTTCTCCCGCCGTTTTGAGCTGCCCCTTTTGAACTGCTACCATGCGCTCAGGCTGCGCACACTCGCCGCGTGATCAGCCTCTCGGAAGGCTCCGGCGCCTCGTCGAACCAGGCGCCTGAAAGTTGGCATGCCCGGCTCCAGGTGAGGCGCGCCACCCCAGCGGCCGGAGAGAAACCCAGGCGCCCGGAAGATCGCTGGGGTCTGGAAATCGAAACCCGGGCAAGTGGTAGTAAGGGACGATCCCAGCCGGAAATGGGTGCGGTTGCCTTCTTAATTCTTTACGTTATTCTGGGTAGACAGACCATACTAGTACCGTATTATGATTACATCTCACTGGACATGGCAAGCGAGTTTGACCAGGGGCGCCTGGCAGATCGATTACGCGCGGCTACTTTGAACAGAGCCAGGACAGAGAGACAGAGACGGCACGGATGCAGTGCGGCGAAAAAGAAAACCTTGGCAGGCTGACGCGGCAGGCCAGGCGCCAGGCGATGCAGTCTGTCCTGGATAGTTCGGGAGAGTCATCCCGTCGCCAGGACGGGGGCGATTTGCGGATTTTGTTTTTATTTGAACGCCTCCGGCTCAGGCCGCCGACATTACAGGCCCGCTTTCTTATTTGCGTCCCTTTGGAATTGTCCCCTCCCTAAGATCTTTCCCCCCCCCTTTCCCTGCTGGGATCCTTTTCCCCCTTTCCCTAAGGCCTTTCCCCCCCCCTGAGAGCTTCTCCCTTTTCCTTCCTAAATCTTTTCCCCCCTTTTTCTGTTAAGTCCTTTTCTCCCAGATCTTCTCCCTTTCCTCCCTAAGATCTTTCCCACCCTTTCCCTGTTGAGATCCTTTCCCCCCTTTCCCTCCCAAGGCCTTTCCCCCCCTGAGAGCTTCTCCCTTTTCCTTCCTAAGATCTTTTCCCCCCTTTCCCTGTTTGCCATTTTTCCCCAGATCTTCTCCCTTTCCTCCCTAAGATCTATTCCACCCGTTTCCCTGTAGAGATCATTTCTCCCCTTTCCCCCCTAAGGCCTTTGCCCCCAGATCTTCTCCCTTTCCTCCCTAAGATCTTTCCCCCCCTTCCCTGCTGAAGATCATTTCTCCCCTTTCCCCCCAGATCTTCTCCCTTTTCCTCCCGAAGATCTTTTCCCTCGGTTGAGATCCTTTCCCCCGTTCCCCCCGAGATCTTCTCCCTTTTCCTCCCTAGGATCTTTTCTCCCTGTCCCTGTTGAGATCCTTTCTCCCCCTTTCCGCCCTAAGGCCTTTTCAGGTCTTCTCCCTTTTCCTCCCTAAGATCCTTTGCCCCCTTTCCCTGTTGAGATCCTTCCCCCTTTCCCCCCTAAGGCCTTTCCCCCCCTGAGATCTTAAGGCCTTTTCCCCCCCTGAGATCTTCTCGCTTTTCGATCCTTTCCCCCTTTCCCCCCGAAGGCCTTTTCCCCCCTGAGATCATCTCCCTTTTCCTCCCTAAGATGTTTTCCCCCCTTTCCCTGTTGAGATCCCTTCCCCCCTTCCCCCCCTAAGGCCTTTTCCCCCCTGAGATCTTCTCCCTTTTCCTCCCTAAGATCTTTTTCCACCTTTCTTTATTGAGAGCCTTTCCCCCCTGTACCCCCTAAGGCCTTTTCCCACCCTGAGTTCTTCTCCCTTTTCCTCCCTAAGATCTTTTCCCCCCTTTCCCTGTTGAGTTTCCCCCCCTGAGATCTTCTCCATTTTCCTCCCGAAGATCTTTTGCCACCTTTCCCTGTTGAGATCCTTTCCCCCCCCCTTTGCCCCCCAAGGCCTTTTTTTCCCCGGCGATCTTCCCGCTTTTCCTTCCTAAGATCTTTTCCCCCCTTTCCTTGTTGAGATCCTTTCCCCCCCCTTTCCCCCCTAAGGCCTTTTCCCCCCAAGATCTTCTCCCTTTTCCTCTCTAAGATGTTTTCCCCCCTTTCCCTGTTGAGATCCTTTCCCCCCTTTCCCCCCTAAGGCCTTTCCCCCCACTGAGATCTTCTCACTGTTCCTCCCTAAGATCTTCTCTCACCTTTCCCTGTGGAGATCCCCTTTCCCCCCCTGAGATCTTCTCCCTTCACCTCCTTAAGATCCTTCCCTTCTTTTCCGGTTGAGATCCTTTCCCTCTAAGCCCTTTTCCCCCCAGATCTTCTCCCTTTCCTCCCTAAGATCTTTCCCACCCTTTCCCTGTTGAGACCCTTTCCTCCCTAAGGCCTTTCCCCCCCTGAGATCTTTCTCCCTTTTCCTGCCTAAGATCCTTCCCCTCTTTTCCGGTTGAGATCCTTTCCCCCCTTTCCCCCTTAAGTCCTTTTCTCCCAGATCTTCTCCCTTTCCTCCCTAAGATCTTCCCCCCCCCCTTTCCTCCCTAAGATCTTTCCCACCCTTTCCCTGTTGAGATCCTTTCCCCCCTTTCCCTCCTAAGGCCTTTTCCCCCCTGAGAGCTTATCTTTTCCCGCTTTTTCAATAGTCTGAAATGGTGCCCCTGAGGAGGGGTAAGGGGAGGGGTAACAGGACACGCCGTCTGTTGTCGGCGGATTTGATTGCAGATGAAGGAGCTGAGCATTTGGCAGTATTGGTGTCTTGGAGTGTCGTGCAAGAATTGCACCTGTTCCACAACTTGATCACAGCGCACCCTTGGTGCAGGCTGCAATTCACAGACGCAGGGTGCCTCCCTTGTGGCTCCGAATGGATTGCAACTTCATCAGCGAGGCTGAGTGGACTCAAACCACCTCCCCTGAGGTAACCTGGCATGTGTGCTACTATGGCAAGTGTGATGGGTGCTTGCCAGCAAGATGCGCGAGATATCGGCAAACAACCGTGCACCTTCTGAAGCCCAACCAGAGAGTATGGGAACAACACGTGCCGGATGTTCCCGCTGAGCAGAAGGCGGATGCCGAGCCAGAGTACCCAGGCAGGAGGCTGGAAAAACACATTGTTTCCGCGGCATTGACCCGCCTCAGCAAGGGAAAGGCCTTAGGGGGAAACTGAGACCTTCTCCTTGTTCCTTCCTAAGATCTTTCCCCCCTTTCCCTGTTTGCCCTTTTTCCACCAGATCTTCTCCCTATCCTCCCTAAGATCTCTTCCACCCCTTTCCCTGTTGAGATCATTTCTCCCCTTTCCCCCCTACGGCCTTTGCCCCCAGATCTTCTCCCTTTCCTCCCGAAGATCTTTTGCCACCTTTCCCTGTTGAGATCCATTCCCCCTTTCCCCCCTAAGGCCCTTTCTCCCTCTGAGTTTCCTTTTCCTCCCTAAGATCCCTCTCCCTGTTGAGATCCTTTCCACCCTTTCCCCCCTAAGGCCTTTTCGCCCCTGAGATCTTCTCCCTTTTCCTCCCTTTCCCCCACTTTCTTTTCCCCCCCGAGATCTTTTCCCTTTCCTCCCTGAGATCTTTCCCCCCCCTTCCCTGTTGAGATCCTTTCCCCCCTTTCCCCCCTAAGGCCTTTTCCCCCCTGAGATCATCTCCCTTTTCCTCCCTAAGATGTTTTCCCCCCTTTCCCTGTTGAGATCCCTTCCCCCCTTCCCCCCCAAGGCCTTTTCCCCCCTGAGATCTTCTCCCTTTTCCTCCCTAAGATCTTTTTCCACCTTTCTTTATTGAGAGCCTTTCCCCCCTGTACCCCCTAAGGCCTTTTCCCACCCTGAGATCTTCTCCCGATTCCTCCCTAAGATCCTTTGCCCCCTTTCCCTGTTGAGATCCTTTCCCCCCCTACCCCGAAGGCCTTTCCAGACCTTCTCCCTTTTCCTTCCTAAGATTGTTCCCCCCTTTCCCGTGGAGATCCTTCCCACCCTTTCCCCCTAAGGCCTTTCCCTTGCTGAGACCTTCTCCCTGTTCCTTCCTAAGATCTTTCCCCCCTTTCCCTGCTGGCCTTTTTTCCCCCAGATCTTCTCCGTTTCCTCGCTAAGATCTTTTCCACCCCTTTCCCTGTTGAGATCATGTCTCCCCTTTCCCCCCTAAGGCCTTTGCCCCCAGATCTTCTCCCTTTCCTCCCTCAGATCTTTCCCCCCCTTTCCCTGCTGAAATCCTTTCCCCCCTTTCCCCCCTACAGTCTTTCCCCCCCCTGAGATCTTCTCCCTTTTCCTCCCTAAGATCTTTTGCCACCTTTCCCTGTTGAGATCCATTCCCCCTTTCCCCCCTAAGGCCTTTCCCCCCGCTGAGATCTTCTCCCGATTCCTCCCTAAGATCCTTTGCCCCCTTTCCCTGTTGAGATCCTTTCCCCCCCTACCCTGTGAAGGCCTTTCCAGATCTTCTCCCTTTTCCTTCCTAAGATTGTTCCCCCCTTTCCCGTGGAGATCCTTCCCACCCTTTCCCCCTAAGGCCTTTCCCTTGCTGAGACCTTCTCCCGGTTCCTTCCTAAGATCTTTCCCCCCTTTCCCTGCTGGCCGTTTTTCCCCCAGATCTTCTCCGTTTCCTCGCCCTGTTGAGATCATGTCTCCCCTTTCCCCCCTAAGGCCTTTGCCCCCAGATCTTCTCCCTTTCCTGCCTCAGATCTTTCCCCCCCTCTCCCTGTTGAGGTCCTTTCCCCCCTTTCCCCCCTAAGGCGTTTTCGCCCTCTCCCTTTTCCTCCCTTCCCCCCCCTTTCCCTCCTAAGGCCCTTGGCCCCCCCCCCCCCTCCCCCCGAGATCTTTTCCCTTTCCTCCCTGAGATGTTTCACCACCCTTTTTCTGTTGAGAAGGCCTTTCCCCCCGCTGAGATCTTCTGAGATCCTTTGCCCCCTTTCCCTGTTGAGATCCTTCTCCCCCCCTACCCCGAAGGCCTTTCCAGATCTTCTCCCTTTTCCTTCCTAAGATTTTTCCCCCCCTTTCCCTGTTGAGATCTTTCCCCCCTAAGGCCTTTCCCCCCCTGAGAGCTTCTCCCTTTTCCTTCTTAAGATCTTTCCCCCCCTTTCCTGTTGGCCTTTTTTTTCCCCAGACCTTCTACATTTCCTCCCTAAGATCTCTTCCATCCCTTTCCCTGTAGAGATCATTTCTCCCCTTTCCCCCCTAAAAGGCCTTTGCCCCCAGATCTTCTCCCTTTCCTCCCTAAGATCTTTCCCCCCCTTCCCTGCTGCTCCCAGATCTTCTTTTTTTTCCTCCCGAAGATCTTTTCCCTCGGTTGAGATCCTTTCCCCCTTTCCCCCCGAGATCTTCTCCCTTTTCCTCCCTAGGATCTTTTCTCCCTGTCCCTGTTGAGATCCTTTCTCCCCCTTTCCGCCCTAAGGCCTTTTCAGATCTTCTCCCTTTTCCTCCCTAAGATCCTTTGCCCCCTTTCCCTGTTGAGATCCTTGTGGAGGGGTGAACTGGCGGGGTGTCAGAGCGTTCATGATTCTTGGAGGTTCGCACCACGTGGCAGGACAGCACCTCGTTCTTGACCGACGCTCACTGGCAGCGCATCGGGGAGGCGGGTGAGACGTGCGTGACTAGTCGACAGCAGTCCAGCCAGCGGATTCGGAATCTTCCAGCCTTCTTGCGGGTTTCTTTCGATATGAACTCAGTCCTGGGTTCAGTAGTTGGCCACCTTTCTCTCAGTTGGTGGTTTGGCTGGATGGCTTTGGGAGTTTCCCCTTCTTTTGGAACCTAAATGGGAAACTGCAGCGCCTAGCCGCTGGGCCCCAACTTCTGCATTCCATGGTTCCTTTCTCACAAAGGGGGAATCCCAGGGTTTCAGTCCGCCTGAGCTTCGGCCTGGAAGTTGCCAGGTCCTCGCTGAGCAACGCTGGCTGCGGCAGGAAGTCCCAGTGCGACCAAGGACCTCCCGAGAGGGTGTCACTGGGAATGCTTCGTTTGTGCGTCAAGAGGCACCCAAAATTTTCAGCCTGGTAAAGCTGCGGCCCCCAGTGGTTTTATTCTGACTACCCATTTGTTTGTTTGGTGGGGAACGGCTTTTGGTGTTTTTTTGGGTTCTCAATCGCGAGACAGGCCACACGGGTACGCGGCATGAGCCGGAAGCACCTGTCAACATGTAAGTTTGATGTCCATCAAAGGGTCTGTAAATAAGGATCATACCCACAACGTGCATGTTTCAGGGGAGACCCCAAAAATAAAGTTTAGTTTCGCTTCAGTTTCCCTTAACCTCGAAAAGGGTACCTTGAACGCATGACATCCCCGTGCAAAACTCCTCAAACTATGGTCTGAGTCATTTTGGTTGCCCTTGACGCACCAGGCACCGCCCTTGTGTTTCTTAGACTACACAACTTATGCGCCACGGGCCTTCAGGACGATGGATTGGTCAATGGCAACTCCACCTTCTGGCTGGCCCAGGCGAAACTTTGATTGCTCGGAAGGCAACCTCTGCAAGCAAAATGTGGAACATGTATCACGGATTAGTTTTATTTTCTTGCAGTGTGAACCCCAGACTCCAGTTTTCGCAAGTGGCACGGCAGCGCAGGCCCGAGGTGCTGTGGTCGAACACTCGGCCAACCTCACAGCTTGGGCCTCAGGGATTGTTCCCATCTCGCGAACCGCGGTTCGCACGTTTTCTGGAGGCCTGAAAGGGGCAGACCACCCAGCCGCGGTTTGGACCTCGGGCACAGGAAGATCGCGGTTTGGAACCTGTGGGTATCATAACTTTTGAGTCCTCGATACATTCGCCACGTGCTTCGTCGTGTTTCTGCGTCGTGTCAACGATCCCTTTCAAAGGTGGAGAGTCCTGGCAACCACTCGGGCAGACCACTCCGCCAGCTTACGAGCAGGCGGGCGAGGGGCGACGGGTGACGGGGCGAGGGATGACTGGGGGCGTGCTCGTTGCTGAGCAGCACACCTCGCAGGTTACCCCAGAGCTGCTGTCGCTGTGGCAGAGCCAGGCTTGCCAATGGGTCTACCAAGGGAGTCTTGGGACTTTGTTCTCATATTGAAGGCAAGAACTGTTCTGGGCCAAGTATTTCTGGACGAGTGGCTTCCCAATCGACATTGGAGCACAGCCCCAGAATCGGAAGTAGTGGGAAATTCTGTATGATTTGGATCATTGTGATTGAGCACCTTCTCTGATTGAAGGAACATCCAGAAGTTAGCCGAGGCGTGGATGAATGCATGGCCTGGATTCAAGCTTTTCACGTGCGTTGCACTGGGTATTGTGTCAGGTGGCAAGTAGTCAATTTACTGGCCCCACTTGGACAGGCTATGTGGAATCTGATCATGAAGCTAGCATTGCTGCAGGCTGGGCTTGCGAAACACGTGGTCCAACAAGGGGCATTGGCTGCATTGCACATGAGCTGCCATTCGGACAGTTTGCAGGGGATGAGTCGTCTCAGATCGAAGAGGAGGTTTCGAAGGATTGCATCGAAACCTGCCCAATATGACTTCACGAGAGTCCATGGGCTCAGGAGACCAGTCAAGGTGCTAGCGAGGCCATTGCGCTTTGCTTGGCTTCCAGATGTGCGGAAGGCGCGTCATGCGCAAGTTTGCAGGAACCTGAAGTTGCCGTTGGCACTGCAGAGGCCTCGCGGTTGGGGGAGAGGGGGGGCCTGAGGGGGGTAGTGATGCAGAAACTGGTGAAGCAGAAGACTGCCGCTGGAAGAACTGTGGCCTGCTTGAGACTAGGCCACGGCGCACTCCCCTGCACCAAGCTCGAGTGACGAGGATCTTCAAGTTGAAGAGGTGGAGGCTCGCCACCCTGTGGCTGCCCGTGCAAGCAAGCCCGGCAAGTAAGGGACTGATGTTGGAGGCAGAGGAAAGACCCCACTTGCCTTGCAGGTGACTGGCACCAATGCAGGCTTTCAAGCCGACGAGTGGATCGTCGAGGCACGGAGCGATGCACGGAGCGAATTGTGGGGAAGCTACTGAGCAATGGTGGTGGCCAGGTCATGCAACAGCCGCCCGAACATCAGGCACTAGGGAAGCACCGGAGTGAGTGAACAAGTGGTGGCTGTTCTCATGTCTCAATTGAGCTGTTCCAACGGGAAATCACTTTTTGTGGATGTGCATGTGGGAATCAGTTGCCTCCTCTACGAGGAATTGAGATGTTAAGCGTATGAGTTTCTCATGCAAGTGCGAGTTGTGGGCTTGGCGAGCTTATCGGCAGGGGCCGCAGGATTTGGCAGTATGGGTGTGGCTCAAAAGGTGGAACACCCAAAACTATTTTTTTTCCCCATTGGTTTCCCTTCAACAACTCGCGAAGGGGGAAAAACCGACTGGCTGTGACACGTGCCAGGCAGAAGCTACAGGCGGGAGCCTTGGATGGATGCGGAGTCGAAACGCGAGCCAAACCGATTCGGGTGATCAGAGGTTGGGGGAAACGCTCCAACACAGTGGAAGCTGCAAGAATCTCTCGTAGTTCCTTTGTTGGTTTTGGGCACCTTGATTTCCTACCGAGCTGTGACTCTGGTGGGCAGCGTTGTGTTGTAAATGCTTGAGCACTACACAGCCCATGCCGAGGCCAAAGCCGTGCGGCCGCAGCCTCGACCCATGCTGTTTGGGCATCTCAGGTCCATCTGGATTTGTATCCATGGGTTCCCTTTGCTTTTCCCTCAAACCAACCCCAAAAGCGTATCACAAAAGACACAGCCATCTCACGCCGACTGAGGATGTCACCGAGGCAGTTGTGTCTGTCATAATGGAGGAGTTGATCAATGACACGGTCCAGCCACCTTGCGGCAAGCCAACGCTGCCCGCTTGTTGGAAAAAGCGCCATGTTTTGACTGGCCCCACGTCTACGACTTGGCCTCAGGTCCTCTACTGGGGCGGCCATCGAGCCCGCTCTTTGGCACCCAACTCCGGTTGTGCCCCCCTTCATTGACATCTTCAACGAGGCAGCGCGCAAGCAAATCCGAGGGTTCAATATATGGAACTCGTTGCAACCTGAGCTCCCATATTAATATGAGCAATTGACGAATCATTCCACTGTTGGTTCGGGGAGATCATGGCGGGAAATTCCCGAATTCTCCACACAAACAGGGGGACCATCCAAATTTGCTATGCCCCTTTTGAGGAACCAGCCATTTTGTCCGGGGCTCATACGAGCAGCGCCAACAATCACCAAGTCAAGATGCGACCCGGTTCTTCTAGCATGATTCCGCGTAAGAAAACATGCGGGCCTCGTAAGCTAGCAAGTTTGCGTAAGGTTTGCTGGTGGAACGAGCGCCGCGCTTGCGCGCCGAAGTCGTAGCTTGAGAGCTGGAGCTACCCTAGACTCGAAGCTCGCGCGTAAGCTGCGCGTAAGTGGTCGAGGATTCGCGAGAACCTTAGCTCGCATGGGCAAAGCCTGTCGCGTAAGACCCGCAGAAGGTTTTGGGGAAGGGAGCAGACCCCAAAGTCAATAGGTTGTCACTGCTCATATTACGCACTTTTGGCACACAGTTCCCATGTGGAGGGTCCAGCAATCCTTCCCGGGTTCCCCTTGCCTCAGACCGAAGCAAGACCGAAGCGGGCGCGCCGGGCCTGGCGGCTTGCCCAGGCGGACTCGGCGCCGGATGGCTCCAGCGCCGAAAGCGAGCCGGTGCAGCCGTCTCCGAGGAGGATCGATCGCTGGTTGCGGGTAGGAAGATATCCCACGATCTCATGTCCATGCTCCTGGGCCCACACGGGCCACATGGGCCACATGGGCATGATCTTGATTCGCCCACTTTTCACAGAAAGGTCCAAGGCTCCCGTGCAGTCCTGACCTGCATGCGATCAGAAAACTTGCGAGAAGTTAAATTAAAGGAGGAACACATGGGCCAGGCATTGGCAGTTCCGTCTGCTAATTGTACACTTTCCAATTCCCGGCATGTTAGGCATGAGCACAGATGTGTAGGGTGCAGCATATAGGTCTGGCTTGCAGTTCAACTTTTTCAATGTCCTTTGAGTTGCCAGACCTTTTGAGTATGGCAAGGATGAGATGGCGTGATTCCTCCGGCGCTGTTGCATGTTGAGTGTCTTGTGAGGCCAGTCCCGCAGAAGTCAGAAGTGCCATCAAGCGCCATAGCTGCAAGACGCGAAAGCATCAGCATTTGTACTGGGTTTGGCATCACCAAATTGGTACTGGGTTTGGTTGCAGAACAGCCCTTGCAATTTACGACTTTGGAAGGATTCAGTTTCTTGCTGATCGGCCCCAGGCATGGCCCAGCCAGAAGCGGCCAAAGAGGCTGCCAAGGCGGTGGTGGACAAGGAGGCGGAAGCCAAGGACTCGGAGCCGATCACGGCATCTGCCGAGTCAGGCTGGGCCACGACTGGGAGGGATGCACCCCGCTTTTGGCGTTTGAGAGGCAGAAGCGAGAAGAAGGCGTCGAAGGATTCAGGGCCGGCCTGGCTCAATTGTCGCCATTTGCGACTTGGCATTTGATCATCCTGATTCATTTGCAGGCCTCCGCGCCCCCCATCGCCACCGCCTGATGTGCGCAGGGGACCCGGCGGTCAGCTGGGAGGGAACAGCCAGTGTCGAGTTGCTGATGTTGGCACAGAGGGAATGCTGAGAGCTCGAGGCTCTCTTCCACCTGAGAGCACCTCGCAGACACTGCCTCAATGCGTGAAGACTGTGGAGGGAAGAGCGGGCTTTGAACGTGCATCATGTATTTTGTCGTTTTAGGCAGACGGCATCGCGGGCAAGAGGCGCTGGGCTGCTGTGCGCTTTGCACAAGCTCTAGCTGACACGCCTTTTGAAGTAAGTCATCGCCTAAAGTGAGGCACTTGGGACATGGGCCACATCCGCAGGTCGGCAGGAGACCGCGGAGGTGATCTCCCAGGCACGATTGAAGCGAAGCGCCCGGGGTCAGCTGCATGCGGAACCGGAACAGGAGCTGCTGGAGATCCTCCTGGGGGAGGTCCTGGCCTGAAGGGTTCCATGTTTGATATGGGCGTGGGTCAAAATGAAACCACCAAAAAATCCGCAGGTTTGGGTCCATGGCTCCACTTACCAGGGCAAGCCATTTGGGGTACCTATGTTTGAACCACAGCCATTTGCGCAGCGGGCAGCTTCGCGACACGCGGCTTGGAGCCCCTAGGCTTTGCAGGAGTTCGAGCCGGTGAGGCTCGAGCCCAGTCCTGTCGAGGCTTGGGACTTGAACGTGGCATGGCTTGGAGCCCAAAAAACCCTCGCTAGGGCGGCCTGTGCCGTTTCTTGTGTTCTTTGGGTATCTTCCCTGGTACTGCAGGGCTTTTGATTGGATCTCATATTCCAACTTGCAGGAAGCGCGCGTGAGCATTGGTTCCACTGCTGCAAGCCCACTTCCAGCAGGACATCTCCAGCTTGGCTTGCGGTCTCAGGTTCCCAAGAAAGGTGCCTTGACCACGCCTCTTGGACCAAGTTTGTGTGTGTGTGTGTGTGTGTGTGTGTGTGTGTGTGTGTGTGTGTGTGTGTGTGTGTGTGTGTGTGTGTGTGCGTGCGTGTGCTTTCCCATTGTTCTAGAGGAAGCTTCCCCATTCTTTCCAGTGATCCTTTCAGGAAAACATTAAAAAACCCAAGAATCAAGCGGCTTTTGAAAAGAACGATGCTTGAGCAGAATGGGGAGTCAACCGCGAGAATTGCGATGGAAAAACGCCGCAACACTGAGAGCGTCTTTCCGTTGGAGTTGCCAGGACCACGACCCGTGGACACCTCTGAAACCGTGGCACGAAGCTCAAGACCAGCTCAACACCATCTTGTGTTTAAAGGCGTTATCTTTTTGTCGGTTGCGGGTTTAGGGAATTTAAAGGTGTTCCTGCCCATTTATCTCAATTACTCACAAGCGCAAGTGTCAACAGGATCCCCAAAGATGGGCGAGTTGTTGCAACGGCTCCGAGGTTGGGCCCTTCCTGGATGCTGCGTTCCAATACTTCGGCGTGACCGACGAGGCGCGGTGCGGCCCGGCCGGCTGCAGGCCACGCGCTTTGCTGTGCTATGCATGGGTTGTCAGGGAAACGTCGCCCCTTCCAGATGCATGGGGATATTCCTCCCCCCCCCTGAAAAAGAAAAGGAGCGAAGGATTTCTTGACTGGGGCGCCGCCCGATTAATCAACAGGGATTGATTCATCCTGTGTCGATCTCGTGGGTGAGAGGCGCAGCCGATTTCTGTCCCGATCCCGCCGGTGGAGGAGAGCGATGCAGCTGAGCCACGGAAGACTCTCAGGGTTTGCTGGAAACAAAGTTCCCCCAGTTCGTTGTCAAAGCGATTTGTCGACGGTCCATGGACATGGGAGAGCGAGCTAAGCAGCTAATCTTCTCTCGGACTTGGCGCACGCCAAAGTTTCCCATGTCCTTTGCGGTAATCGCATATATGTTGATCGCGGCTGATAGGAGTGGCTGCCTGCTGTGCGAGACCTCATGAAAGGTGACCAGGCAGCGGAACCCAAGCGGGAGGCCGGATCGCCGCCAGTGGAAGGGCATGTGTGGCGCGGCTGGATCGTCTTTGCTTGATCCAATCCAATCTGCGAATGACTTCGTGATGTTCTGGTAGTCTATTTTTGCCGGGGGACTTTTTGAAGGCAGATAGATACAAACCCAGATGCGCGTCCAAACCTGGTGGGTAAAAAAAGGGAAGTTCCAAATGTGTTTGTTTTCTTTGGCAAGGCTCCCTCTTGGACCCGACATACGCACGGTCTTTTTCAAGCTTTTTGACATGTTCCAAGAGCTCAGGAGCCGGAAGCCGGAGAGGAGAACCCGCCAGCATTCCAGCGCCATTCGAGGGGAATTTGCAGCGGGCATCCCGCCGGCTTTCAGGGCCTACTCCAAAAAATGACCGGTTGGTTGGGTCAAAAGGGCTATGGTCAAGGTGGGAGGAGGCGACTCTCAGCTATGTTCCAAGAACAAACCGGGGCTGAGGATTTTCTGAAGTCCAGCATACAGTGACAACAAGATATCATATCTGCCTAGTTGTCAGCGAGCTCTTTGCGTGGTGAGGTTGCCAATCAAGATCTCTAAGTATATCTCCAATGCAGTTTCTGCGACCACGAGGACAAGGAGGATGAAGAGGATGTAGAGAGCTTCACAAGACTGCGCTTGCCTTTTCCGGGGCTCGGGCGCTGTTTTGTGCTTCCTGAATCACATGAGCTACTGTTAAAACTAGGCGTGCGAGCAGGGACTTTCCCATCTTTTTTTTTTTTTAATGGTTTTGTGTAGACCCCCTGTAGCACTGCTTGTGACTCACCCGTCCGAGGCTCGCTGATGCTTTGCACGAGATAGCTAGCGAAGAAGTGAAGGCTCGGGTGCCAGGGCTTGCGACACCAAGAGGACACCCCAAGAACCCCTTTTGTTTTAGCTTTTCCTCGTGTTTGACGCGGGGAGAGGCTGAAACGTGACCACACGTGTGCGGCTCGGGCAGGAGCAGGGGCCTCGCATCATGGGCTGGCGCCGTCCGTGCTTCGGGGAAGCCCCCTTGTCTCGTTTCCGCGAGAAGCAGGCACGGGGCTTGGGCAGGACATCGCCACGACGGCCATTTTAGGGGGGTGCATCATGGGAATCGGACTGAACCTGCTCGACAAGTGGGTGCACTTGATGCTTCTTCTAAAAGGGTCTCAAAACCGGGGACCCTTTTTTGGGCCAATCCATTTCCCAAAAGGGCAGCAACAACCTGGTTTTGACAGCTTCCCATAGGCGCGGGAGGGCCAGAATCCTTCGGAGAAGCAGACCTGGGAGAAGGCATGGATCGGTGTGGGGCAACGGCTGGGGTGAATGGACAGGGGAGGGAATATGTATCAAGATGGAACCTTCCTTTAGAGGTTCAGTAAAATATCCAGGCTCGCTCATTTCTCATGTCCATGTAGCCGCATACTTTTTCACCGTGGTTCAGATTGGTTTCAAAGGCAACGAGGAATAGCAATCACCCATTTTGGATTCTGGAGAGGGACTCCTCACTTGCCATGGTTCAACCATGGTTTACCTTGGTCTGAAAAAGGGAACGAAGCTGACCGCCAATGTCCCCTTGCGACGCATCCAGTGGCCGTTTGGAGATTGATCCTATCCCAAAAGCTTGCTGTTTCCAGGGATGGACATTGCTTGGACACAAAAGGATGGCTGGTCTCTCTTTCCTCCGGTACCGCCTTAGGCCCCTGGCTTGAAAGGCTTCCATCTTCACAAGGGCTGGTTCCTGTGTGTTACCTCCCACCTGATGTGTTCCCTTTACCAATTAGAAGGATTCGCCAGACTTGCCAGTAGGCTGTTTCTTGGTTGTGCTTCCCGGTCTTTTGGTTGGGACATTGGAAGAAGCCCGACTGGGTGCTCGTTCTCCGTCGCTGTCAGGTGCGAGCCAGGCTGAGGGAAGCCGTGCGCTTCGGCTCCAGGGCCGAGGCGCGGCGGAGCGGAGCGATCAATATTCTTTGCCCCCCAAAATGACCATGGGACATTTTTTCCATTTAGTGGGAAACATTATATATATATATATACATATCTTGTTTAGTGGGACATATCAGTTTCTCTAATGGTCATCCTATGTAAAGGAGCTTTTGATCAACCCCCATGTGCTTCGCGAAGTCGGGATGGGGTCTGGGCTTGAAAAACCCTGAGAAACCCAAAGGTTCCCCGTCCATTGTGGTAACACATCTTTCCCAAGGAAGGCCAGTTCCCAATACTTGTTTTCTCACTCACCTGGTTTTAAACAGTATTGACAGCTCAGTGTTCGGGTTTGGATGTCGATTCAGTGCAGGCGAGCGAAGACTCGGTGGGCACATGGCTCAGTTTCAGCCAGCCTTGACTGGGTTCCTTGTGAGCGGAGATCTGGAAGCCCGAGGCCGAGCACCGATGGATCCTGACTCAGTCACTCCAGGCCGGCTTTTTTTGGCAGACCAACAGGGTCTAGTGTTAAGAATGCCAGTTCCTATTGCGGAGTTGGCCCCGTTCGGGATGACAGCATGGAGCCTTTTTGCTCCCGGGAGGTGCTCCGAACTTGGCCAACGCCGAAGAAGGCCGAGGGGGAGTTCGAATCCGAGCCAGCCCCGACTGGCCCCCTGGAGGTGTCGATGCTCTGCTGGAGGAGGAGATATGCTGCGACCTTTGTGTGACCATGCGTTAAGATTCGATGTGAGTAGTCAGACAGCTTTTGATAGAGGACATTTGCCCCGACTCCTGTTTTATTAATGCTTTTAGCCAGCAATCGGCTGCTTGCACTGTTCATTTTCGAATGTCAGTTCTTAACTCCTTCAAGTGGCTGATCATTTTTTCTGACATCAGCTTGGCCCGGTGCACTCCCTCAGGCAGTGACGAGGCGTCCTGGCTGGACATCAAGGGCGATGTCCAGACGGTCAAGAATCAGGCAAGTGCGAGGGGAATGACAAAGTGCAGGGCTCTCGGGCTGTTTTGACTGCCCCTCAGTGCGGCAGTCTGTTTGACCTGTGCTGTCGCCACTTGACCTTACTATCAAAGATTGCGGATACTAGCAACAGCAGGGCATCAACGAAGAGCCCTGTCAACCCACCACTCTTTTTATGAGTACCCGTCCTTGCGGGGCAATCGGCAACATCGTCAGGTTGCTCGGATGATCTTCATGGATCTTGTGGACGAGATAGCTACCGAGATTGGTTGCCTTTGGTCCGTCTTGCTGGCACATTTCCAAGCCAGATGGGTGTGCCTGTCCTAGTTGCACCCCTTACGTGAACTTGGCAGGCATGAGCGGGGCATTCCTGGAGAATCAACGGCTTGCCACGAACGTGGCTTTGCACTGCTTTCGCAAAAGCGGATGTCTGAATTCGGTGCGACTTTTTACACCTGTCATGCAGCACTGGTTAGGTCTGACCGTGCTTGGTGTTGCGGGCGCCTTGTACAGCAAAGTGCCTGGCAGAAGGTTTGCCCTGCTGCCCACAATTCAGATAGGCCCATGTCCTGTGCGCTGCACAAGCGGATGTGCCGGGGACGTTGTCCATACCAATTCATTAGGACTTCTTGCGAGCAAGGAGCGGTTTCACGGAAGCATAGATTATTCAGAACTCATCCAATAGTTGACAACAGTGTTCATATTTTTTTTCTTTTCCGACCTGGCTTGGAAGGCTATTGCCTCGATGCTATCTATGCAAACATGGACAAGGTGAAATGACAGTGAAGTCTCAGCTAGTGTCGAATCATTTGCAAAGTCTTCCGGCGCGGGAGAAAACCCATGTGCAATTTGTGGCAGAGGCCGATTCTGGTGGCAAGAGGCACTGCAAAAAACCTGATTCGCCAATCTGACGTTCCTTTCCAAGCTTGCTGCACTCTTTGGAGATTGGGTTTAGCAGCCAGTAGTGGGCGTTCGCATGGCACCCCCTGTGAACGTGCTGCGCTCGGCCAATTCCGTGGGTATTGCTTCTGCTGCTATTCAGGCTGAGTGCTCGCGTTGAGACGCCTTTTTCTGTCGCCCAGGACCCGCCTGTCAGCGCCAAAGGCTTAGAGCATGGTCTTGACCTGTTGCAGGGCACTGACCTCTGGCTGAGCTTGAAGCTTTAAAGTCAACAAGCGCCTTTAAGGGGCTTGGCGGTTTTACGGGCCTTGGGACCTTGGGGCCAGGTTTTTGGGTCCCAAGGCTCGATGTGAGTCGTGTTCTTTTTCGGGTGGTCGTCTTTTGGGTGAGGTCCGAGAGAAGGGCGGGCGCATCGTGGTGGTCTTCAATGTGGCCAACGTGCGGCCCAACTCGGTCCAGGCGACTCCGATCCGGTTCTGGGCGCTGAAGGTGCTTGGGCTAAGGATGTAGTTGTTTCTGTGTTGGGTCACTATCCTGATGGAACGTTTTTCCTTTTTTCAATGGCCAGCAAACAAAGTGTCGACATCCGCCTTGTCAGCCTCCTGGCGCCTTCGCCTCTGCTTCTCACATGACCACAGGCCGATGTCAGAGCTTCCAGTGAGGAGGAACCTGCAGGACAGATACTTTGGACGTGTTGATTCAGTCCCAGATTACTTGAACCATTCTTGTTTGTTGGCGCACGATGAGAGGACCATGTTGGTTTCCATCATAAGGGAGCTGCACGGTATCTTTGCAATCCACCGCATATCAAGTGCAAACAGGGAGAGATTCCTTGCGTTGCAGATGCCGAGCTGGAGGCTCTGTGCACGTGACCTTCAACTCGGTCTCTCCAAACCGGTCGTTTGAGAAGCACCTAGTAGCACACCCAGCAACATGAACCGTCAATAAAGTTGATGCTTGCATCTTCTGACACTTTAAGTCTTGCTACCATGCTGCAAGCCAGTGCCCGAACTAGAATGCACATGTAGATCAGCGACACCACTTTGTGGCTGTTTGGACCTGGTGTCATGTTCTTTGTGTGTGTCGATTGGAAGTCGCCTGACTGAGGTGCTACCTCACAGCATTGAGGGCAAAGTTGTGCACGACGTGCCGCGGCGCAATTTTGCGGCATGGCCGATCTCTCCAGCTGGTGAGAGGCAAATTCGCTTTTAACTTTGAGGCTGACGGAGCTCTGGTGATAGCTGAGGTACAGAGCAAGTCTTTGACACTGCAGCTGGCAGCGGCCCCAGAGCCAGCTGAAATGGCTCACAAGACATCGAAGGCTGGCCGCTTCCAGATCCAGTGCACGCCGCAGTACTTTGCAGAAGGGACTACGGCCAACCAACCGAAAGCAAGGAACAAGTTCCGTTCAGAAGCTACATTTCAGAACTATTGCTTTGGGAACTACATGCTCGCACCACCAGAACACCCGAAGCGCAGCACCCACGCAAATGTTCGGCAAGCTCTTCTGCACAAGAACACTTGCTCCAGACAATTAAGCATACCGCACCAAGAGAAGACTCGCACCAATCACTCAAATGCTCAGCGTGTCTCAGACAAAGAATGCCTGCCCCAGTAGAACACCAACCACTAAAATGTCAAGCAAACCTCATAAAGCAAAAAACACGCCCTAGCAGAATACCCGAAACAAAGATGGCTTCCAAAACAGTCTGTATAGTTTCGGAAAAAACAAGCTTCCAAAGTATAGTTTATGAACCATTGTTTCCGGACCACGGTTTCCGAAGTAGTCATCCACCCCACACGTGTTTCTCCAAAAACAGGGCTGCATATGGGTCATGCCGTGACGCTGTTTTGTGAGGGTGTTCGTGAGGTCAAAGCGGATGCAGCAGTGGTGTGCGCCAAAGGTTCGGCACTGTGTGAACTTGTGATTCCGTCGTGTCTTAGGAGTGGGGCCAATCCTGGCTCAAAGCAAAGGGAAAGGCCAAGAGGACTGCAACGTTTGCAAGGTGGAGGCAAGGGTCCTGCGCTGCCTCGCGTCAGGAAATCGGAGGTGGAGAAAAGTCCAGGCGCAGGTAGCCTTGGTAGCCGCTCTACACCTTGCTTGACTTCGCCTTGACAGAGGTCAAGATGTGCAGCCTCCGGCAAAGGAGCCTGTGCAGGTGGGTTTGCCATCTAGGTCAAGTCACCGGTATAGATAATATGCCCTCCCGGCTGCTTCTGGTAGTTTGGGGGTGGCGAAACCTGGTCCTGATGTGAGCGCCCATGTGAAGAGGGAACCAAGCCTTGGGCATGTGACAAAGAGTATGGCTGCTTGAAGCTGGAACAATAAGACCAACGCTGGGTCGCGAACATGAAGCCGAGCTCGCAGGCTGCATCGCGACTTCGGCCCACGAGTCCCCGAGTGTCCGCGATCCGCGCAGGACCCGAAAGCCTCGAGCCGGGATGAGCCGGAGAGCCATGCTTCGGCCAAAGAGGAGCCCGAGCCAATGGAGCAGTCGGCTGAGAAGGCCGAGGCCAAAAAGGCCAAGGAGACCAAGGAGGCGAAGGAGGCCGAGAGGGCTGCGGCCCAGGAGGCCGAGGCCAAGGAGGCTGAGAGGGCTGCGGCCCTGGAGGCTGAGGCCAAGGAGGCTGAGCAGGTCGAGGAGGCTGAGGAGGCTGAGGAGGCTGAGGAGGCCGAGGCGAAGGCCGTTCAGCCAGAAAAGAATGAGCACCTTGGCTGCAAGCGTTGCGAAAGAGCACGTCTCGCCAACTGCAGCACTGAAGGCTCATGCCTGAGAGCCACGGACCTAGATCTGCCCGGCCAGTTGCGGTCTGGTGTCATGTTGCCCGAGGCTCCGATGTGCCCAACTCCAAGGAGCATGCAGGGATTCTTCCAAGTCTGACTGGCAGGGAGCTGTCCTGTGCCGTGCGAAGGCGGGAGTAAAAGCGAGGGCCAGACGTGGAAAGAAATCCAAAGCGAAGGCGCCAATCCGGCATTAGCAAATTCACCAAGCAGAGGTGCGAAGCCATGCTTGGCCGGAGGAGAAACCAGAGGAGATCAATGCGGAAGAGGGGAAGGCAGAGACCATCAAGCAGCCAGAGAAGGAGGCTCATGAATGCCGTCAAGCTGTGCTGTGAATTCAGCCGCCAGGAAGGCAGGAAAGCAGGTACCAAGCAGCCTGCCAAAGCGTCAGAGACAAGCTCAAAAGCAAGGTCTTGCTTGCACTGCAGCGCAGAAACACATGGTGGCTTTTGGAGGAAAGCAAAAGATGCCGACACAAGCGACCTCCAGCAGGTCTTTGGTGAAGCTTTGGAGTGGATGAAGCCGCAAAAATCCGGGCTGCTAAAAGACTATCCCCTGGTGCCGCCATCGGATCCGGAGATTCAGCGTCTATTGCGTCGGCAGCTGAGACCAGGCGCCCCTGAGCATCAACAAACCAAGTTGAGTGGTAAGGCGATGCGCACGCGCAATGCAGCAAAGACTTGAAGAAGGCCGTTGCTTTGACGTAGGGTACGATGCCACCTCAACGCCACTCAGGCCACGGTTTTCTTCCGGCTGGCTGGGCGCAAAGGCTATTTGCCAGCCTACTTGCCTTCCTGACTTGGTTTGGTGCCGAGTGCTAGCCTGCTCAACTGGCAGCCTGCCAGATTAATGACGTGGCCAGGCTACTAGCAGAACAAGCTCAGATCAGGCAAGACGACCCGTTGCTGATAGACAGCATGTGCGCTTTTGCCTCAGTAAGTGCTAGCCAGAGAATCAAACAGTCCTCTGTTGTGTGAAGGCATTACTCACGGCCCCGGACGTGCAAAAGCAATTGCCCAAAGGGCTGCTGAGCAACTCTGCGCTGCGGGCTCGGATTAGACTCGGACAAGCTCGGATTAGACTCGGATTAGACTCGGATTATCACGAAAGCTAGCTTTAGCTAGCTGAAGTTTCTCCTTTAAGGGGCTCAAATGCCGAAAGATTGATTTTTTCAATTATTTGAGCCAATTATTTAGACTCCCCCCCCCCTCGCCCCCCCCCCCTCCCCCCCCCCTCCCCCCCCCCCCCGCTCCCCCCCCTCCCCCCCCCCCCCGCCCCCTCCCCCCCCCCCGGGTCTCAGGCTCGATTCCTCCCTGGTCCATCCCCCCCCCCCCGGGCAGTGGCTCAGTGTTCAGCAGTCTCGGTTTGCCCGTTTTGGACTTGGTGCTACGAACTTTTACATGTTCCACCGATTCAGCTTGTTCATTTGAGACCTCAGTCTTCTCGGTAAACCACCTCGCAAGAATCTTGGCACACGCTGCATGCAGAACCCAGAGGTGCTTTAAGACAGCTTCTGACGCCTCTCGTTGTTTTCATTTTTCAAGGTTTGCCACGCCACCATGTGCGTTTGCGTGTCGCATCCTACGAATCTTGCCGGGCAAGCTACCTATGAATCCACTCTGTCACCGACCCATCTCATGCAACAACTGCTAGCTTTCGTTCACCCGCTCCTCAAGTGGGTGTTTCCACCAAGGATGCAGCTTGCAGCCTTGCTGCGAGATCCCAAGAATAAGCGGGAGGCGAGGCATCGTAGTACTGAACATGTTCGTGGACGCGGACCGTGCGAAGCTGTTTGGATGTTCGGAGATGGTTTGTGAGGCAGAAGCCCACTCCGTCGACATCGAGCGCATCGCGAAGGATTGGCCTGGCGCACAGCCAACAAGCTTTCAGCAGGGCAAGCTTCAAACGTCCCAGGCCGATCCTCAATGTGCTGAAGCTGTCGGATAGACATCGCCTCGGCTGCTGGTTATTGCTTGAGGCTCCGAGGGTTTGATCTTCAGGTGGGCAGCCAAAGACGCGGCATTCGAAGGCTGGAACTCTCACAATACATGAGCCACCCGCTACATGTTCTGCAATTCACTGCTGGCAGGAGGAGACCAAGACAAAGCCTGAGCAGGCCAAGGAAGAGTCAAGCCGACTCAATGCACTAAGTGCCAACCCTTCGAGCTTTGTGGCAGTCCGACTTCCAGCGGATCAAAGCGGCGATGGCTGTCAAGGAGGCCCGGCAGCGTTTACACTTCGCTCACATTGGAAAGGGTCATGTTTGTTTAATTAAAATCAGATCCACCAACACAATCGCCTTTCATTCTCCTTTGCCAGGGTCGAAAGGAGCTTTGATTCCAAGTTTCATATTAATGGGGTCCTTGTGATCTGCCAGACGCCTACACCTGCTCAAAATGCGAAAAGAGGCAGGGGATTCGGGTTCCACGAGTTGTTTGATTTCGTCTCCGTCAGGAGCTTGGAAGGATGACGGTGCCAGCTGGAGATTCGTCGCACAGGTAGCTCCGGCCTGAGACGTGCGCTTCACGGACATGCTCGCCAGGTGCCAGAGTTGACAACTCTGTCGAAGTCAAAGCCCGGTCCACAGTCTGACAGTCCGGGGCCTGCAAACGCATCAGTCACGGAGGCTGGACATCAGCAAGTCTGACATGCGGCTTACAGGGCCAGACGGGTGCTGCCGACATGGCTTTGGGGTGGTTTCCATTTCCGCACTGGGCAAATCATGACTTGTACCCCGTTGCTTTGTGGCCCAAGCCATGGCTCCATCCCAGCTTGTCCGCGAGTAGAGCGGTCTGCCAAAGTTGCAAGATGGCCAGCCGCTCTCGCTCTCGCTCCGAGGCGGGCTGGTTTGACGGTTACCTCTTTCTCCGCTGATGCTTTGGCCAGGAATCCAGCGCAAGTGCCTCGGGCGCTCCGTTGGCGCTGCGGACGCCAGGCCCTGCAACGGCGCGTTGCGTTCACCTGCGAAGCCGAAACTCACAGGCCTGGAAAGCCCGGCTTCCGGGGAGGCAGACGCGCAGGACGTGAAGTGAACCAGTGAACCGGGTGAAGTAATACGGGAATGAGGCAATGAGGTCTTGAAGTTTTGAGGTGGTGAGGCGACGAGGGCAGGTGGTGTTGAAGGTAGCGCTAAAATTATTTGATGAGGTAATCAGGTCCAGGTGATCATTGTGCGACTTTTGGTTTGGCAGGAGGACATGTTTGGTGAGATGGTCCAGATTTGTATTGGCTTGCTTGGGCCTTGGACCAGATAGAGGTACTTGGTGTCCGTGCTTGTTCATTCAATGTCAACAGTGGCTTTCACCGGTGTGAGCCTGCCAGAACGTCTCCATCAGTCTAGTGTCCAAGGTGCTGCTGTCCTGGCTCGGCAAGCCATGAGTCGCGGGTCAGGACTGGCAATGTTGAATCGTTGAACTGGTTGCTGGGATGTGTTTAGGGTGCAGTTTCAAGCCGGACCTTGTCCAGCCGATGCAGTGGAACAGGCCCTTTGGCGAAATTCACAGAGTCCGAAAACATGTTCCGATCCTCTGCTACGTTGAAAGTCGTTCCACAACACGTCTTCTTGCTTCCTTGATTGTTTCGTCCGCGAGATCGGTCACTGGGCTCAGGACTGTGGCCGCCCTGCGTGCTCTGGGCTTTGAGGCGTGCCTTCTCCGCGAGGGGATGTCGTATACCGAAAGAAGATCTCTGGATGCATTGGGTCGTGAAAATCTATGAACGCTTGGCTCACAAGAAGGTGCTGCTGGTGCCCAAGGACCAGACTGCTGAGGGCTTCCTGGGAGCAGCGAAGGACCGGTCGGTCATGCAACTCAGCCAGCTTGAAGCTTGCGTTTGGTAGGAGTTGGCATGGGATCTACAAGTGGCAGAGCTGCCGGAAGGACGGCTTGCCGCTGTTTTTGACCTCAGAGATGCTTCCCTTGCCTTGAGGGCCTGATGCTGCACTTCAAGAGCTTTGCCAAGACTTGCCCGGCCCCAAGGGTGTTTCCCTCCGAGTATCTTGCCCTCGTGACCAGTTGCGATGTGCCATGTGGGCACACCTGCCTGAGGTATGCATGCAGATGCGTGGCACAGGAGCAGAGTTGCTTGCTTTTGCCTGGGAGCCGTGGGGAGGCAGGATCCTTCCCTGCCCTGCTTCAACTGACGTAGTCACATAGCAGCTCATCATTTCTTGAGAGGCACATGTCAATGTACGTGGCTGTTTTGAGCTTGACATCCACCATGGGGCGCGACCCTGGGCGGATCGACTCAACATGTCAGGCCGAGCGCTGGCTCTCTTCACTGACAACATGGTTCTTGGGCTTGCGGCCCAGAGCTCGCGCCACGCATGGGGCTGGTTCTTCAGAAGAGACTTCCCGAGGCAAGCGTCCAGAGGAGTTGCCTTCCGAGGCAGATGTTTTGTTCATATTCTCTGAATTCGTGGCCACCTTTTGCTCGAAGGCCAAGGTTTGGTACCCCCAAATGTGGCCAGGATCCAGTTGGATCAAGTTGGATCCAATTGGTGATTTGTGGGGAACGGCAGGAACAGCCATTCTGGCTTGCCATCGAGCTCAACAGTGCCGGCCTTGGAGCATGTTGATTTGCCAAAGGCCATATCAGGGGTCGTCAACGATGGGGCTCCGCTTTGGGGACCGGTTTCATGCTTGCTCGCCAAGTGCTTTTTTCCAAACAGGGGTTCCCATAGTGCAACTTCATCGCCGCAAGATGGGGGTCGGTTTTCCCTTCCCAGTTTTCCGTGAAGCCTTTCTGAGCGAAAGCGGCTAGGCTTCACGATCAAAGGCATCTCGCCGGAGCTGACTCTGGTGAGCTGCAGAGGCCTTCGGCTTTGGCGTGTCAAGACATGGGTATGGGTCAAGACTAAACCACCTGGATATGGACCGCAGGTTTTAGTCCACGTCTCCACTTGCCAGGGCAACCACAGCCACAAGCGCCCCATGTGCCAGGCGAAGGGCGCCATGCGCCCGCCCAAAAAAAAACCGCCAGCGAGCCGCGCGCCGGAGCGCCCATGAGCCGGAGCGACGGCGGGGGTTTGGGCCGAAGTTCCGGGCCTTGTGGCAGGTGTGTGCTGAGGGTTGAGACTCCAAGTTCCTTGGACATCGACCAAGTGGAGGCCGCGCCCTCAACGGTCTAGATCACAGCGCCCACAACTCCTACTGGCCGCTTTTAGGTAGCTCTGCTTCCTGGTTTGAGGTGTAAGGGTTGTCTAAACCTTTGTAGCCATGTTGGTAGAACCATGGGTTTTGGGCGCTACTCACCTGCACCTGGACGCGTTTTGGAGTGCTTGAAGGGACCATTTCCTGGCGTCTTTCCCGCAGTTTGACCCTTTGCTGCGGGCCAGCGGGCGACTTGTGAAATGTCTTTACACCTTCCACCAGGTGCAGTGAGTCCAGTAACGGCTGCCAAACATCGTGCCCCCACCGGCTTTTCACAAGCGCTCTCTGCCAGCCGCCAGCCGCTGCCCGTGCGAGCGCCCAGGCCACATGGTTCAGAAAGTCCCAGCAGTTGGAGGCCAGTCACCTTGGTAAATCCATGACATGGGCATCTCAAGAGAGGCAACGCCTTTAATTGTTTGCTTTGCTTTGGGATGCCCTAGCGCGGTCTCTGTTTTCGAGCCGCGCAAAAGCAACTCACTGCGCAATGAATGGCCAAGGGCAGCAAGTTTTGCATGGGGGTGGGGCTTGGTCCGGGTCAAGGCTCCCATGTATCTGCTTTCTGGACAGGGAGAGAGTGAAGACTCAACACAGATGGCGAATTCAGAGGGTTCGCTCGCTTGTGGGCAGTCTAAACAGAGGTCGCGGCGCAGACGGTGCCACACTTTCCTTTCCTCGAGTGGTTTTGGCGAAGTAGGAGTTTTTTTACGTTGACATCAAGCCATGGATCAAAGACACTCGTCAACTGCGTGCGTGGCAGTGCCCAAGCCTAAAGTGCGTCGTCGTTCGCTGGAATTGTAGAGGTGTCGGGGCCAAAGTCATCACTGGTTGAACAGCTCCTTGGCATCCTTTCATCCTTTCAATGCGCTTGTCCGCCAGAAGCTGTGGCCCGTTGCACCAAGGTTAGACTAGATGCCTGATCACGGGCGTAATGAATACAGAGAGAGTAGACGAGTTTATTTGTGCACTCGAATCAATGGTTAGAACAAGTGCCTTTGCGCTGTCGATTGTGCCAAAGCGCTGCAATCAAGCCGGCGTTGCCTCCCAGCACATCATCCGCCATGTACAAAGTGAAGACGGCTGGATGCAACATATACAGCGATGACACTTATGCAGTAGTCAGAGAAGCTGCTTTCTGCTGCAATGGCTGGCGATGTTGGTCAGCCCAAGTCACCTGAGAGCTCCCCAGAAGAGGCGAAACTGGGCTTTGCAGGCAGGCCCAGGCATAGATCTGCCAACACTCCGACAGTTGCTTTAGGTTCAAGTATGCGTTTGAAACATGTAGAAGCCGGGCCAGTGGCATCATGCTGGCTGAAGGCTGGCCTCTCAGCTTCTCAGCCCGGTCAGTGCTTTCAACCGCGGGTCAATGAGCGGAGGCTCCATGGGTGCATGCTGCGTTTTGGGCCACCGCTGCTGCGGTGGCGGTGCTCACTTACTGGCATGATCCAGCAGCTCGACAGCAGGCGGGTTTGGCCATGGCATAGCTGCATTGAGCTTGTTTTGCGCAGGAGCTGCATGCGAGACGCCTGCAAGAAGCTGTGACCCTGACGCATGAGTTGCTTGGCTCTTTGCGCGGCCAGAAGCCATTGCCAGGATGCGGAGAAATCCGTGCGCTGCCGTCCCGCACGGAAGCCGCAGGCCTCTCTTCTTGCAGCAAAGTGCGTGAAGCGTCCGCGGCCAGTCCTACGGGACCATCTTTAGCTTGGACCCGGTCTGGCCCTCTTCTCGAGGCGCGTTTGGAGCGCCTTCCCAAGAACACCGCAGGTGGAGATCAACTTTTGCGGGGAGATTCCCATGGCCGAGCTTGTGGGAACCAATGCAGAGGCTCGAGCCGTGAGTGTTGTGCATGGGAGACATCACCTTCCAGGTCAGCAGCATCTCATTCTTGGCTCTCACAGCAGCTGCGGAGGTGCGCGCATCTCCATGCAGTCCTGGGGTGGTACCTCGAGGTTGCATGGACTTTCAGGGAATATGGGATATCGTCCTGAAGGGCTTGTTTCGGTTTTCTTTCTAACACACAAACCGTGTGCCTTCGGCTGGCACGACCCCTTCATCCCTCACTCCGCGAGCAAAGCCATTTGCGAGCGCGCAGGTGGTAACGCTTGTGGAGAAGGGCGGCCCCATTTACCAGCTGAATGCACCCTGGCTCTCAGGGTGGCTGTTTCCCATGGCATCAAAGTAGGGCCACTGGGGACAAAGCCTGGCATTTGTTCGCTCCTTTTGTCAAATGAAGCCACGGGGAAGCCAGCCAATGTGGACCATCTCCTGGTTTTGACGCGCAGCAGCCAGATCATTGCAAGAGCATGGATTAAGAAGTTGCAAGGTGCTGTCTGATGGTGACAGAGCGCGCTGGGACATCACAAGACCAGCTGCACGAAGCTTAGATTCTTAGATGGCGACCGAAGGAACAACTTGGACCTTTGATGTTTGATGTTGCAGGTAAGAACGTTTGGAGGAAACTCCTGCCTTGACTTCACGCAATTCTGTAGGAACCTTAGCCTGCCTGGTTGCTTGGAGGTCACATACTACACCCATCCCCGATTTCCTCTTGGATAGGCGAAGTTGCGTCAGTGACACCGCTGCTGACTGGCTTTGTGGTGGTTGCCACCTTAGCACTGGGGTGTCAGCACTGCCAGTGCTGCCGGTGCTGCCGGTGCTCTGTGCATGCTGTGACTCAGGTTGATCGGAGCCGCATCCAAGAGTCCGACTGCGAGCGACTCGTTGGACTCAGCTTCGCGTGGCCCTCTTGAGGTTCAACGTGTCCTGGGGCGAGTCGGACTCCAGCGAGGTCGCTCTGTCTACTCTGGGGAAGATGAACATGGCCGGGTGCCCAGGTTCAACACCGACCCTTCAAAAGGCGAACCAACATCGGGACCCTTGTTTGTTTTGGAAAAATGCCGTTTCATGAAAAAAACAACAACAGTTTTTCTAGTTGGTTTTGTCGAAAAGACTGAAGAAAAGACACACGCAAAAGGCTTCGCAGGTCAAAATGAAACGCTTGGTACCAAAACTGGACCCGTGCTTTCCCTCTCACCCCGAAGCTCCCAGGAAGCTCCCATCCTGGGCGCGGCGCTCGATTTCTCTCAAGCCACTGCGATGATCCGCGCGGCCCGAAAGCCGAAAGCAACGTCAATATGCCCGTGGGACCGTCAGTCCCATGGGTTGATTTTTATTTTTCTACGGGGTTTGAGGGGTTTGCAGCCCCCCATTTGAGACTATGGGATTGCCATGTCTGTCACGCGATGTCCGAACCTTGAGGCGAGGCGGAGCTATATTTCCCGACCTTCCTGGCCATGTGCGCCCAAAGAGAGGCCAAGCCCAAGCCAAATCCGAGGACTTCCAACCCCAAAGAGGGTCGTTTCATGCAGATTTCTGGATGGCCGCTTTCTTTGGGCATCTGCGTTTGGTGCAAGGCAGGTTTCTGACCTCGTTTGAGCCGTTCAAACCTGGTAGCAGGTTGGTGTGGGATAGTCCCAACCCGATTTGGTGGATATATCCGGCCCTGAGAATTTTTTCCATGGGGTTTGGATATGCTTGTTTGATGTCAGATTTTAAGCCCAATTGCCAGCGATTCAAGCTGTTTTGGTGCACCGTTGATGAATCCGCATGTTCCTTCAGCAGAGAAGAGAATGACATGGTGTGGGACAAACACACATTAATATGGATATGTCCTGCCTAGTATGAGTGGACGGTGTTGCTCAGCTTTGACTGGCTTAGATGCTTTATGGTCATTGGCAAGGCAGGAAAGCTTGGCATGAAATGCATCATTGTATAGACAACTTCGTCAAGTCTGAGACGCGCTGTGTATGAGTTTCAGGTACAAGCCGATCAACCACACCCATATGAGCGAGAACTTCGAAATCACCCCCTTGTTTCCTCATGCACGCGAAAGATACTTCTTCGTGTCGGACACAGGCAGAGATCACACAGCATGTGGCTATGAAGTCTAAAACCTCTCAAAAATGGTCGGTTGCTTCAATACGTAGATCCCCAAAATCCATTTCCGAGTCACATGGACTCATGTGCACTGAAGGGTGTTCATGACTTGGGGAGGCAACCACCGTGTGATCTTTCTCAACGCAACGAGCTACACGTCCCTGGAGTACGTGGAATCCTTCGGGGTTTGGGGCGAGCCACGAAGCGACACAACAGGCCTGAATTTCCCCATGGGCCTGGCTGTCATGGCTCCAACAGGCCGGGAGGAGAGACAGGCATGTACATGTTGATAGCTTCTGATAGGGAACATCGTCAAAATGGTTCGTTGACAGGAATCCTCATGTAAATGATGTCCACCAAAGGTCAGAATCACAACCTCAGTGTAGTGTGAGACGTGGTGATTCTAGTCTTACACGTTGCACTCGCGTTGCCACTTCAGAAGAGAGCTACTTTGGCCCGACGATAGCTGCTGTTTTTGTGATCGCCTCAGAGGTCTGAAGCGGCACATTCACAGCCAGCACGGTTTTTTTTTGCTTTGTGCATGACTGGCAAATCAAGGTGGCAGATCGTTGGAATAACCGCATTGTGAAGCTTCGATTGGGATACAGGACTGAACTCTCCTGGGCGGTGTAGACAACCATGCAAGGGTGTTGCTCTTGGATTTATCCCAGGAATGATCCCACGCTGCCACAGAACTACGGCGAAATGCTGGAAGCTTGCGATGGGAAATGGTTGTTTCGGACTGGAAGCGGAGACCCAGGCCAACTCTCATGTGGGGCGGGCACTACTGGCGCGATCCCACCGGCGTGTCCACCTGAGAATCGGATCGGTGGATCGCGAATCAGACTTGGAGATTGCAGGCGGAGTACAACGAGAGCCTCAACGATCCAGTGGGTCATTCGCTTAAGCTGCGTTTGCTTGCAAGTTTGGGGCTGATGGGTCCCATGCAAATGTGATTAAACTGCCTCAGACATCCTATGAGATCCAGCACTAGCGTGTGTGGCAGGTGTGTCCATCTACAGACACTTCATCTTCGTGTGTGAGGCATCAATGGCTTTGAATAATTTGCCCTTGTCAGACCCACCTTGTTCTGTGCGAGTGCAGTCACTGGTTCTGGGCAGTACGGGAGTAGGTCAGGGCAATGATGGTTCCCTAGGACGGTGCTACTTCCAAATCCAGCAAACCACAAGCAAACATTTTGGGGGGACGGCACCCTCCCTTCCTCTGTAGTATATGGCAACAAGGTGGGCTATCCTTGCGTGGGCCAGCTAGCAGCACCCTCTTTCTTTGCAGGCTGAAGGCAACGCCATCACCGTTCTGACGACAGACTACATGCAGCATGACCAGATGATGTACGTGGAACCCCCAGCGACTTTTCCTACAGCCTGCAAGAACTTTGAGACAAGCATGTGACTATTGGCAGGATCAACCAGGTTGATTCATGGCGCATATGCGCTCATGATTCTCCTGGCATCTTTTGTCCTCTGGAGGATTTGTCTGTTACTTTCAGCGCTCGGCTCCACTTGGTGGGTCAAAAGCCCGTAAAGCCAAATCGCACCCCCAGTGAACATCCCAATCCCACTAAAATAAGTTCTAAAATGGGTGGTGAATTCACCCAATCCAACCAAAATCAACCACAACTGTTTTGACCACCGCCACTTCCAACTGTTGCATGGTTTCGGGCGCCGACCGCGGGGGAATTCGGTCAGGTCACTGAGCTCTACCCGGCGCCCGGGGTCCAGTTGACTGGAAGCTTCTCCACCACGCGGGGAGCTCGGTGTCATTCGAAGCCTTAAGGACGTGGTAAAAGGACGTACCGAAATGAGTCATATGGCTGTGGCTCAAAAAACCGGTACCAAAATGAAACCCTGGTAAGTGGAAGCATGGACCAACACCTGCGTAACCCCTCCTGTTTAATTTTGAGCCACACCCATATGGGCTTGTTGTTGGCTCCGATTTTTTTGTTTAAGCCTTTCTTTCTTTTTTTTGCAATGTTTTCGATTTGTCAGGCCAAAAGGGACACCGACCATTGAGGGGTTCCCTCCATAGAAACATAGAGCCCTGTCGACTGGGGTCGGCAGCCATAGATAGATGAGGCTCCCGCAGCTTGCAGCCAATGCGATTTGTGGCTGGTTGATTTTCTGCCTGCTTTTGAGCGAAAGCTTGCTTCAAGGGAGACTTGAGCCTTCCACTGAGGGAACAAGGCTACCTTTGGTTCGCGTGCGCCGCTTACGTGGGGGCTGCGTTGCACTACACATCCTGTTTTGAAGTGCTACTTCTGCATGGACTTGGGACTTTGGCCGATTCCGAAGGTACATCAATCGGCCATCAACCCATGGGCTGGCCAGTATTTACCTGCCAGAGCTACTTGGGCTGCAAATGGTACTGGTGCAATACCAATCACCGAAGCTTTGGTTCAGGCCCCTGGTTGAATCGCCGCCTGCATTATGGATCGAGGAGCCTGTGAGCCATAAATGGGTGCAGGCATCCGCATCTCTGATTCTTTATATGGGTTTAAAGTAAGTAGATTCCTTCACCAGGTTTTGATTAGAGCTCATGCTGTTGTTCGTAGGAGTTCCGCTCACAATGCACCAACGCCACGATTTACAACGCCTTCATCATGGCCAATGCAACGTGCCAGGCTTAGGGGGCTCACCATCTCCATGGGTGGCTGTTGGGGGTAGGGCTTGCGCTTCAGGCTGTATGATGAACATGTCATCTACGTGTTGAACGCTGCCCGCATCAATTGGCGATTCCCGCAATTGCCCCGCGCTCAGAGGGCTGACAGCTGGTGAGCGGACCATTTGCATTCCAAGGCCTAACTACCTGAGCAAGGACTCGTTCAACCTGACCATAATGTGAAGGCCTTAGCCAAACCAAGCTTTCCGCTTTCCCTGCAGCGTGTCCCAAGCTTTGCCGAGGTTCGATTTGTATCTTTGGAATGAGACTGTGCTCGGGGGCAACATGTTTTATTGCCTTCCTCCACCTCCGGCGACCACCCCGCGCGCGACTGATGTGGAAGTGCCACTTCAGTGAAGGGCTGCCGGATCAGAGGGGAGGTTCTTGGATGCCACTTCTCGTCGAGGCCAATGTTGAGCGCCAACGAGGATGGCTGGAACACTCCGGGTGTCCGATGCTCAGGGACGGGGTCTTCTGGATTTGTGGCCTTTGGTTTCCCGCCAAGGGCACTGGATTACTACTCACCGGCGCTTCAGCAAGAGTAGCCCTGGGATTTCGCCTCAGTGCACGAAGCAGGGCACAAAAGGTTTCATGCGCAACCGACTTTTGCGTGCATGTGAGAAGCAATAATGAGGTTTAGCTCAGTGCTTGATTGTGATGGTCATGTGGCTGACGCCTGGAGCCTGGTGTGAAAGCTGTCTGGGGATGAAATTGTTGGCGCGCGGTCGGACAAGGCCGATGATAGACATCGCTTGACTCAGAGGTCGCTGAGCTAGGACCCCAGGAATGTTTGCGAGAATGTTTACGAGTACTGTTTTCTAGGGTCCGAAGTACGTCTTGAACGACTCAAGGTGTGCAGCTAATTTATTCAGGAAACAAGTAGACAGCAAAACACATGGGCGAGACGGGACGATTGGTGCATGAGTCCACATCATTTTTGCTTGAGGTTGCTGCCAGTCGGACCCAGACTCGACGAGCTGTGAAACTGTGCCATGGCGCGACTTCCAAAGGAACTCGCGACGGGCGAAATGCAAAGAGCTCGCACTGTTCAAAGGAATGCTTTCCCGGGAAATGTGTCAAGAAACGCGAACCCGTTCGTTCCAAAAGGACTGAGACACCTACCTGTTTGTTGCCTACCCGATGTTGTTGCTTGTGCACGAGTTTGCGAGCAGGAACTCAGATGAATGCAAAATAGAGCGTGTCCGTCGCTGTGGAGACTCGTTTTGGTTTGCTTGACAAGTGCTTCCTGATATGGCTCACTGCTGACTACTCCAGGTAGGTTACTTGAATACAAGGGCCTGCAGTCGTACAGCACATAGCAGGAGGTTGATTCCGTTTAAAACAAGTCCATTATCCTGGGAGGCTGATCCATGGCTAGCTCCAGACAAGCCGAATGAATGAGCTGCTTGCATCGCACCCTCTTGTCCTTGCGAGTCTCCATGGAACAATAACGCATGGGAGGCCAGGGAATGGGCACAAGCGTGGGACACAGGCAGTAGGCAGTGGGAGTTCTTGGAATGGGGCCATCCGGACCGCATGTAAGGAGCTAGCTCACATTTCGTAAGAATAATGTTGCCAATAGAGCGCTTAGCAGCAAAGATGTACGGTTTGACTCGTGATTCACAGAGAATTCATACAATTCTGTCTGCTGTGCACCATCAAATAGGTTTCTCAGTTTCTCGCACGTGGTGACACTGCTTGGCAGTGCCCAGGCAGGGACAACCACCAAAGCCTAATGCAGCGTTTTTGACTGTGCGCAGGTTAGGATGCTCGCACTAGTTTGAGGCATGCGTGCAAGTGCGTTACGTGGCTCGCTGCTTGCAAGATCCCGTGCGGCGGGCTGGGCCAACACTAGTAGCAGAGCAAGTTGGTGGACCAGAAGCAGCAGCAGTAGCAGCAGTAGCAGTAGGAGTAGCAGGAGGCTGTTCCAAGTGTCTGGCCATCAGTCGTCTCTTCTGCAATTCAAGCTTTGTGTTGGAACTGTGAGGTGTTTGCAGCCAAGGGCTTGCAAGTTGGTTGGGCACTTAGCTGTGTCTCATGCGTTTGAGTCATGCATTTCCAATCCCAAGTCTGCCAAAAAGGCCTAGCACTTGCTGTTAGAATGACCCACTGTCTGGGAAGTGTGGCCGGGGAGCTGGGAAACACATCAGTTCATATCCAATGAAGCCAGCTGGTTGTGGGCCAGAGTGCACTTGCCAAGCAGTTTCTTGATTTGAATCTGCACCATAGAATTCAGCAAGCCCATCTCAAACCCAACTGGATCCTCTTGAATTTGCCGCGCGCAAAGATCGAGGTGCGGCTGGGCAGGCATGGACCTCATTCTGTTTTCGTGTGCGTGGCAAAGTGGAAGCGACCATCGCAGTGGCAGCTCCAGTCGAGGGCTGGCCAGTTTTGACAGCTCAAGCTGCTTGGTGCTCCTCTTGCAGCCCGGTTTCTGAGGTGAGGCTCGCACTGCCCCGCTTTCGGCGCCTAGCTTGGATGTCGGAGCTACAAAGCCAGCAGACTTTGGAAGTGTGTTGCTTAGCATTCCATGGCTGCATGTCTTATCCGTTGCGTGTGGACTCGCAGCTTGGCTTTGTTGCAGATTGGCACTTGCACATTGCGCGCACGCACACATTCGCAGCACCCTGAATTCTGAGCCGCCTTCTGGGAGATGAAGAGTTGAGTGGGGCACGTTTGCTTTACTTTTGCTTGGCCAACAGCCTTAGCGCTACGCGTGCTCATGGCAGCGCCCGAAGCTTTTGAAGAGCTTCCGAGCATTGGCGGTGATCCCGCCAATGCAGTGCAGATGAGGCTGGGGCGTGGTTTGTTGCTTCGTTGCCTCATGGTGTGCAAGCCAAATGGATATTCTTTCAAGATGGTTTCTCAATCCTGGGCTTGTGTCAATCTGCCCTTGAAGTCTGTCGCAGGCCAGTTCGAACTATCTACGGGGAGGACTGCAAGAGCGAGCTCTTATTTTCGCCGGAAGATAGGGAGAACCAACTCAACATCTCGGGAACAGCTCGGGTGAAATGCCCAGCAATCCATTTGAAATGCAGCCGGGATTCGGCATTGCCCTCACTCTGCCCAGGATATCCCGGAAGGCCCTGTGCTCGCAGGGATGCTGTGGGCTTGGCGTGCGCGTGCTTGCGATATGTTGCCAGGCGGCTATGTGGTCAAGCTGGCCGTGCCCCCAGCCCAACAGACGAAGACATCAATTAAAACAAGCTGGGGCATCACCTCGGTTGCCTGCTTGAAGCAGAGACTCACCATTTTTATTTGAACATAACATAATAACTATAGAACTATAGATATAGTAAACATTACACAACAATAATACATTAACATGTGAATAATATTTCAAAACAAATACATAAAGTAAAAAGATACACATGGGACATGATACATTATAATTTATTTACATTTTGTCCTTTTGCATTCGCTTTATTTGATATTGAACATTTAAATCAACGATAAAGACATAAATAAACGTAAAGATGGGGTCAGATAGGTACAGCATCCCAGCTGCATATTCAATATCAGATGACATGTCTTTCTGTTTCTCTTGTCACCTCCAAAATGTCCTTCACTTGGGATTGCCAATGCTCCAAAAGAAGCAACACAAAGACAGCAAAGTGTCGATTCATAATCACCATCTCTTGGCTAGCAATTGGATGATAGGTGGGTGAACTCTAATGTCTCAATCAAGGGTTTTATCCTAGAGTCATAACAGAAGAAGAAGGAGAAGAAGAAGAAGGAGAAGAAGAAGAAGGAGAAGAAGGAGGAGGAGGAGGAGGAAGAGGAGGAGAAGGAGGAGAAGAAGAAGAAGAAGAAGAAGAAGAAGAAGAAGAAGAAGAAGATGATGATGCTGATGATGCTGGATGATGCTGGATGATGCTGGATGATGCTGGATGATGCTGGATGAGGATGAGGATGAGGATGAGGATGAGGATGAGGATGAGGGTGAGGGTGATGATGATGATGATGATGATGATGATGATGATGATGATGATGAGGATTATTATGAGTATGATCATCATCATCATCATCATCATCATCATCATCATCATCATCATCATCATCATCATCATGAGCATGGCATGCCCTGCATCCCCAGCGATGTCTAACGTGACAGTTGAAATGTATATAAATAATAAGAAAGAGACACTGGTGATGACGACAGACGATGATGCTGATGATGCTGCTGATGCTGCTGATGCTGCTGATGCTGCTGATGCTGCTGATGATCCAAGACCTGCAACAGACTGAGCACGATTCCTCGTTTTGGTTTTCCAAGGGGCACGTCGCACGCGTTTGCGGTTTCCGGACCCTCTGTTAGGCGAAGTCCTGCAAGCTGGGGGAACTCAAGGCTGCCCTTGCGGAGAAGCTGAGCGTGTCCCAGGACCGGACTTGCCCGACTGGCCCGACTGGCCCCGGAAAAGCGCAACTGCAGTGGGTGCCAGGACAGTTTCACGTTTGCCTATGAAGGCGAGGAGATGGACGAAGGCAAGACAATTCAGGAGTGCAGAGATGATCTTGAGTGGCATCTACGATTCAATTCCTTGCTGTTGAATTACTCGACATTGTGTCCTTCTGCATGATTTGGGTCTGACCCCATGCATGGACACATTTGTGTTTGCTTCGCCGGATGAACAATGCTCGGCGCACATGGCGCTTGAAGTTCTTCATGCGCGGCTTAGATTTTTATATTCGTGAGGAGAATAGAATCCCAGAGCCCGGACCAGCCGCACGACGCGCCGGTGCAAAAGTGGAACTCTTGTACGGGGCTTGGTTTGTGAAGATGTGAAGACACGTTCTCGGGCGCCTCAGGTTCTTGATCAAAGACGGGGTGGAAATTGGAGCTCAGAGGGCGCGGCGTGAGGCTTGGGCGAAGCGGCCCCCCTTTTGGGGGCCGCTTGGGCTGTGCAGAAGGGGTTCTATGTGACAAGGTAGCTTCTGTTTTTTGTAGAGAGGGGTATTTATTGTAAACGCTTCGCGTTGCCCGCCTCGGCCCAGCCTAGTTTGAGGGAAGGGTCAGGAACACCGAAATCCAGTGTTGGGAAGGTCCGAATACCTGAAGCTGGCTCCAGACAAGTCAGACAAGCCGGCCTCGCCTGGTTGGGCTGGGCCACAGGCTAGTCTCAGACACATCAGATAAGCCTGCGCTGGGCCTGAAGCTAGTCTCGGGCAGCTTGGCTGGACCTTGCTTGCGTGGGTTGTTGGTTGAGCTGAAGCTAGTTTACGGCGGGCTGGGCAGCCGCACTGAGGGGGCTGGGCTATGGCTGGGCTGGGCCTGAGGCCAGTTTCAGACACGTCAGACAGGCCTGGCCAGCAGGCGGACTGGGCTGGGCTAGACGCTAGTTGAGCCCAGGCTGGTGAGGCCCAGTCTCGGCGCTAGATAGGCTGAGGCCTGCGAGTCTCAAACCGGGTGGGCTTGGGTGGGGTTGGCTTAGGCGGGTTGCTGGTTGGGCTGGGCCTGAAGCTAGTCTCAGCCACGAGGCTGCGAAGCCATGGGTGGTGCTGGGCAGCTGGATTATGGTGTTGGTTGCGCCTGGAACTTCGGCTGGCTGGGCTGAGCTGTGCTTGGGCGGGTCGCTGGATGGGCTGAGGCTGGGTAGCGAGTTGCTGGCTAGGCTGGGCCTGAGGCCAGTCGCAGACACGTAAGACACGCCAGCAGGCGGGCTGAGGGACTGGGCCTGAGGCTAGTCTCAGGCTGGCATACCTTGAGACCAGTCTCAGACTGCGCCGAAGGGGCCTGGTCAGCCTGGGCTGCTGAGTAGCTGGCATAGCTTGAGACCAGTCTCAGACACGTGAGACTGGTCGTTGGCCTGAGGTCAGTCTCAGACACGTTAGACAAACCTGACCTTGGCACACTGGGTTGAGCCTGCTGGTGGGCTGGGAGGTGGGGGCCGGTAGTGGCTGGCATGCCCTGAGATGCGCTGGGGCCTGGGCTGGGCAGGCTTTGGGCTGGGCCTGAAGCTAGTCTCAGCCACAAGGCCATGGGTGGGTTGCTGGCTGCCGGGCAGCCGGACCAGGCTGCTGGTTGTGCCTGGAACTTGGGCTGGGCGGGCTGGGCTGAGCTGTGCTTGGGCGGGTTGCTGGATGGGCAAGGCCTGTTTCATACACACTTGGGCCTGAGGCTGGGTGGCGAGTTGGCTGGGCTGGGCCTGAGGCCTTAGGCTGGCGTACTTTGAGACGGGGCTGGGCCTGCTGGATGACTTGGGGCCAGACGCGAGCAGGAGGTCAAGGCTTGGCCAGCCTGGGCTGAGTTGCTTGGGCAGCCGGACTGAGGGGCTGGGGCACGTCAGACGGGCTTGGTGGCTGGCACCAGTTTCTTTCAGACACGTGAGACTGGGTCGTTGGCGTTAGACAAACCTGACCTTGGGGCCGGCCTAGGGCCTGGGCTGGGCGCTGGGCTGGGCTTGTTGGATGACTTGGTAGGCCTGTTTCAGACAAGCTTGGGCCTGAGGCTGGGTGGGGCTGACAGGCCTGGCCAGCAGGCGGGTTGCTGGTTGGGCTGGGCCTGAGCCTAGTCTCAGACACGTCAGGCAGGCCTGGCCACCAGGAGGTCATGCTTCTCAGGACAAAAAAGCAATTTTTTAGTGATTTTCGCAATTGTCAGCACATTTTCGACAAAAATGGACCCATGGAGCTGGACGCCGACGAACCCCGAAAATTTCAAGGCCCGCCGGACAGGATTTTGGGCCAGCCGACATGGGTTGGGGGGGGGGCCGGCAAAATTTTGGTTGGGGAGGGGGTTGGGGGAGGGGAAAAGCGAAGATTCTCTTTGGAGAAGAGATCTGAGCGCCCTTGGCCCCTTTGGGGCCGAGGCGAATTTTAGGTTTTTTTTGTATTTGCTTTTGGCTTCTTGGCTTCTTGGCTTCTTGGCTTCTTGGCTTTTTGGATTCTTGGCTTTTGGCTTCTTGGCTTCTCAGCTTCTGGGCTTTTTGGCTTCTTGGCTTCTTGGCTTTTTGGCTTCTCAGCTTCTGGGCTTTTCGGCTTCTTGGCTTTGGCCTTTCGCATCCTCTGCATTCCCATTTCCTCTTCTCAGCTTTTGCGGCTTTTCGCTGGTTTATGCGGCTTTTGGCGGCTTTGGCTTTTTGCATCCTCTGCTTTCCCAGTTCCTGTCCGGGCTTTTTGGCTTTTGCACCCTTTCATTGGTTTTTGGATGGGGCTTCCCGCATCATCAGCATCACCAGTTCCTCCCCATTTGAATCATCACTTCTTCGAACATCATGGGGGGGGAAGCCCCCCCCGCAACCCACCCGCTACTGTTTAGATTGCTTGCAGAGTAATTGCACCCCTATTTGAATCAACACTTCTTCAAACATCATGGGGGGGGCTGCCGCCTCCCCCCCGCTACTTTTTGGATTTATCTTGCAGAGATTGAATTGCACCCCTAGTTCAATCATCACTTTTCGAGCGTCCAATTTCGCGAGAAAATGCTGCAAAACACGACATTTTAGGTATTCTGTGTAATCCATGT